AAAGTTACTCTACTATCATTGCTACAAAAATTACAGGTAACAATGCAATAGAGTTGTTTAAATTGTACATTACTGTTATAAAGATGTTATTTCACTACTAAACAGTCTTAACTTGCCCATTTTCCTAGAATTCTTTAAAAAGAACAAGAAGAAAATATACAAGTTTACTTACTACTTGAAGCAGAGCAAGATATCCAGCTCCTACATTATCGAAGTTTACTTTCACGTTTTTCCATCGGGCACTCTGATTGTTTTTTATGAGTTCCTCACACTGAGTATAATTGTTGACATCACTGACATCAAACATCTCACCAGTTGTGGTGTTGACACAGTGATAGAATTTGCCAGCAAACAGATTTACTCCCATGATGCTGAAGATGAGCCAGAATATAAGACAAACCAGCAATACATTCATGATAGATGGAATTGCTCCTACGAGGGCATTTACAACCACCTAGTGTACAAATCAGACAAAATAGCCACTTAGTTTATGAACAGAAAAATAAAAAGACGTTTAAAATGTTAGAACAGCATTAATATGGAATGGAGAGCTAGAACATCACATTAAAAAATTATGGGGGAAATGTTATATAAGGCTCAATAAAAACACTAATAAGATTGTAAAAAGCAAAAAATAAAATTATATGGAAACCAAGACAATGCAAAAGTCTGGAAAAAAATCAAAAAGCAAACGAAAACCTGTTAGTAGCAAGATGGATTCTTAGAATTTGTATGCTCTAGAGAAAAAAAAGAGAAATAAATGTTAAATTCCAACAGTACAAATCAAAATCTATAAATAGAAAATAAACCAGAAAAAGATCAAAGAATGATGATGTGGAATACTGGATAAAAATGTCTGCATGTGAAACTATCATTACTAATGTTTTTATTCTCAGAAACTTTATGTATATATAGGCAACAGTGTATTTTATCATCTACATACAATATAACAAAATTAAGCATACCTTACTTGTTTTTTATTAAGAGCATCTGCTATAAGCATTGGTTTTAAATTGCCTGGCTCACTATGGTTACTCTTACACTTACCTGTTAGAAGTTTTTTTAATTGGGTGCATTTAATACAGTTGAGCTACTCTGTGTGGGCAATTAGCGGTAAAAGATCAGATAAAATCCACTGACAAAAATTTTCTTCTGCTTGCTATGATCGATCTAAGAAAAGGCTACAGACATTCAAACAATCACTTTCTACCAAATCAGTAGAGAGTGCAGTAGTGCTTTTTGGTATGGTTATGAAAACAGTATTTTTCAATTCACCAATTTGACTTAAAGTAGTATAAGATCAACTGAAGTTTTGCCCATTTCTTAGATAATGACTTACATGTTGTTTGCAATGCAAATCATATAAAACATAGAGGTGACAGCGATGTGCCAGAGACACACTCCCCTGCACTGGCTAGTGTGGCCACCACTAGAATATCAGCAGCCTCCACCCAAACTGGAACCACATTATTTATTTGGAAACATAAGACCTCTGACAAAACTCTAACTATGTATTGCAGCATCTGGGTATTTTGAGGTGAAAGATTAAAAGGGGATTTCTTAATAACTTCACCTTGTTAATTTTTTATGCACCATTTTTTCCAGGCAGTAGCATATTCTGCATTTTCAGCAGGCAGCTTGTAATTGTTTGGTGGGGGTTTTGCCAGATTGGCAGAATATGAAAATAATAATCTCCTCCACAAGAAGGATTTAGCTGTGTAGGAGGAGAGGTAAAATGGCAGGAGAAGCATTCATATGATGTAAAGGACACTAGCTGAGAAAATTATTTCCCATCTCTCCTCTTCTACACTTCCAATGCCATCCTTATTTCAGGTCATCTGTTCAGAGAACCTTTCCCTGATACTACTACAGGATTTATTGTGTGATTTTTCCCCCAAGCAGTCAGACAGGGAGCAACAGGGAGCCTTTAGTTTCTGCTGTGTGACTGTTGTCGGCTTCTTCCCTTGTTTTGTTTTCTGGCTAATCCTCTTCCATTCTGAACACTGACAAATTTACAGAGAATCAAAGTTAGCTGAGAAAATTTATAAAATAAAGGCCACAGCTAAACTGAAGGAAAAAAACCCACTCTGTTCTAAAACTTCTCACGTCCTTTTATTTTTCTGTATAGGTCCACAAATCAATGGAAATTTTAAGTCAAGGGGCTGGGATAACTCAACTATACATCAATGAGCAAGCATATTCAATGAGCTCAAGGTCTAATCTCCAAATGTAAGGTGTACGTGTCTTGTGTATAAGGATATGCTAGAAGACTTTTTGCCACGCATTTTTGTGTGCGTTCCCATTCTCAGGGTCTTTGCAGAAGGCATGAGTGTCATGTTTATATTTATTTTTTGTATGCATACATTAATTCAGACTCATGCATTTTATCTCACCCTCATTCCTTCAAATCGTGACAGGGCTCTTAAAGGTCTTAAAGCTCTTAATGTCCGAAGCGATTTAATGGCACCAAGTTCAGAATAGCCCAAAGCATTGGCTATTAAACTAACCAATGAGACCTATAAAAATAGAGAAAAAATATTATTATAAAAGTAGCTCTACACTTTTTATTTAAACAGAATACAGACTCAGTCAACGGAAAGATCAACAGTGACAAATGGAAGAATACCATTCTGACCTATAGTGGTAATGGAGGCCAAATCCTTCAATTTTCATACTTGCTGGAAAGGGAAGAGGTCATATGAAGGCATATATGAAAAAGGAATACATGTTATTAGATGTCTACTATGGCTGGAAAAGGTTTAACGGTCAGATGGAAGCAACACTGTTGGTGAAGGATAAAATTTTCAGAAATATTTAAAGACAAAATAGCCATGTTTTCAGTAACTTCATTAAGGTTCCACCTTCCAAGCAATGTAAAATTCAAAATGCATTAGTATATTTTGTTACTAACAATATTATTTATATCTACAATCACTAATAATAAGTAAAATAAAACAGTGGTTAATTAGCTTTTGTTATAAATAGTACTTCTAAGTCAAACAGTTTGTAGCAACAAGAACCAGGGTATCTATGATATATATATTAACAGAGGTGGTACTTTCTCACTTCTCTGGCATCTCTCTCAGAATTTTTTTTCTTCTCTTGTAAGTATAGAAAAATACTATGGGGGAGACATTAACAGATACTAGCATTGTAACAGTAAGTGCTTTGTTATCTACCACAGCGGTGAACTCCTGATTCAAATTACTGGGATTTTATTATAAGCAAATCCTCTTTAGGAAGGAGCAATTTATTTGCTTCTCAGGTGGAACTGATTTTTAAACAGTGTTAATTGTGAAAGAATTTAATTTTCTTTCTTTGAGCAGTTTTGGATACAGGAGTGGGGAAATATCATACCTTACTCATATTTTACTAGTTCTACACCAAAAGCATTGAACACATGAATGAACATAAGCATCTTCCAGTCCTTGAAAAAAATCCCTTGAATGTTCATTCCTGTACCTCAGTCCAGAGAGTTCTTCAAGTAATTGGTTGTACAGAAATAGGCACTCACTGATAATGGTAGCATGATTTTGCCTGCTATGTGAGCAGGTGTTTAGCTATGTTACTTGTATCCATAAAGAACAATTAGATGAATCACAAATGTAAGAGTTACCAGATCATGTCTTAAAAAGGACAATCAGAAAGCAGATGGAAATCAATGATTTGTTACTATGTTGCTATGTATATTAATCTACAGAAAACAGGATATTAGTGAATTTGTATCACTGCACCTCTCAACTGGATTACATGTTAGGATATAACTCTTTTTTATCAAAGGAAAGGGTTATTTTATTGCTGTAATGGATAACTTTGTATGATTTGTAAGATAAATCATATGATTTATAAGCATACTAAGAAGGACATCTTACAGATTTTCTGTAGTCAGTAACTGAAGTCTGTTTACTTTTAATAACATTATTGTTTCTGCCATTACATGAATTATTGTAATTAGTTGTTATTAATAAGTGTAATTCATACAATTTATTTGCCCTGTGATTCTACAGTGAGAGAGTTCTCTTTTATCCTTAGCCACTCTTAATATATTCCAGAGATAACAAGGCATGTATTTCTCTGTATTTTTAACAGAATATTCATTGATTCGCTCATATCAACAAGATACCTAGACATGATAATTAACTTTAGTGTAAAGACAGCACATTTTATGGATTACAAATAAACTATGAAATATGTACTAAAATATAGATATAACTGTGAGAGCAAGGCCTCTCTTTTAAAATTGAATTCACATTAACAGTGCCTTCATTTTATACTTTTCTCTCCAAACTAGCACTGTGCCTTAGCTGTCTTTCGAAAAAAGACTCCCTACAGTACAATGAAGGTACATAGTTGTAGCTCGTGTAACTTCAGTGGCACTGTGTATACTGGCAGTTTTTAGGTTTTGATTGTAAGTCATTCTCCAGCCCAGTTTGTCTTTTCCATTTCAATCTATTTGCAGCTTGCTTAATCATGGTGCTAGTACCCTCACACTTCACACACATGAAGTTCTTTCACAGAGATTGTAAACAACAGATTTTCTTCTGAAGGACAGTTCACATGAGAGGTAGAGATTTGCTTGGGTTTCTTTGATACTAATTCTGTTGTATATACAGCATAAGTATATACAGCTCTTCTGTATTGCTCTGGTTTTCTCAGTCTTCTTAGCTTGGTGTTCTGTCATCTGTTTTGTTTCTAGTAGGTGTTTTGTTGCTAGTAGGTGAGAAAATAAATGTCTCTATACACTAATAAATAAATTAATGTTTTTCTTTTGAGATGGGAATGCATGCATGAAATGAAAATGAACTCAAAATGATAGAAAGAATTTTTACATTCATATCCAAAAACTTGAGGGTTGTATATACACATTTTTGTGTACAAATCTTCTAGTGCAGACTATCTGTTTGAAAATGTATTTTGAAACTTATCAGTCAAAATTAGCACTAATCAAGATCTTCAGTCAAGGTTGTCATCCGAGTCAGATTGTTGGTCATACAGCTCCACATTGACTTTATTTTATTTAGGCCTAAAACTTTAATCCATATGAATTCTGTGCTACTTGGTGAAGTGGCTAGTTTATGTAATTTGATTCTTGGTCCTCAGTGGAATATGGCCCTCCTCACTTCCAACACTGCTTATTTTATCTTTCATGTAGTTTAAACTTTCAAGTATTGCACTTAACTAGGATTAAAAGTAACCTGCAGGAATTGGGAAAAGAATCCAAATATTTTTCTTTCTACTGAGAAGTTAATGATTTTTCTTATTTTTTGAAAAATAGATACCATATTACCAGTTTTCCAGATAGGCATTTTTGATAGAGACAGGACACTGGACCAAATGTAGGCTTTCTTATGCCTTATGTTATCTTTCTTATGTTATAGTCCTTTGCTAAGGTAATACCATTGTTTTTTATATGTATTTGGTGAATAATTCTTAATTTATGATACTTTACTGGAAAGCATTAAAAATTCATTTTGTTTAGATACATAATTGCAAGCTATGATTCCGTTCCCTAACTCACTGAATAAGAACCTTAGGTTTCATGCATATATCATCTGAATATCATTTTGAATTAATTAATTTCATTCATTTCTCTTTTATCCGATGTTACTATAGTGTACCATGTTATGATACCCATATGAAACTGTCTAGGAAAACAGAAGTGACATCCCTTTCTGTATCTGTTTACCCAACACATCAGTATGCACATTTTTTTACTTCTTATTTTCATTATGAAGTTGTCAGGGGAGTAGTCGCCTCTTACTTTTTGCATACACCTTTAGTATATTAGTATTATGTGACCCTGAGCTTTTTCAGAATGTTGCTGCTGAGTTGATTATTCTCAAAATCTAATAAAAAGGTTGAAAGCATAGTTTATTTAAATTAGTTTGTTTTAACAAAAAGCATGAAACATTTAGCTATATGAAGTTATATTACGTAAGCCATCAATATAACCAACTTTTAATGTACTAGTCAACAAGCCCAACCAGAGGATTGTTTTTCTATGTTCAATTGTTCAATTTTCTATGTTTAACTGTAAATTTTATCAGGCATGAGCAATTTCAGGAAGGTCTACAATTTCATTCCACTACAGATTCATTACTGCCTCATACTATTTGGCAAATGTATAATTTCTTTTAAATTTCCCTTTCATTCATGTACAATTTATTAACAACAGAAATAAGTGTCTATACCAAATTATCGGACTAATTTAGAAAGTTTAAAAATATACAGCATAAAATTTAAGATTATCTAAGATTACGTATCATAGCAGAAAACTACACAAACAAATTTAGTTACTGCCAAACTTATTTGGTATTCCCACATTTCCTATGTCCTTCCCTGATGCCCTAGCTCTTGGCTTTGTATATGGCAAAGACAACTTAGAGTCATCACAGCTGTACATCAAAAGCTAGATGTAATAAACTCATGACAGATGGCTTCTGGAAGAAGGTGGTGAGAGCAAAAATCCAAGGTACAGGATGACATGCTGTGTAGCATCTAGTTGTACTGGGTTAAGCTATTGCTGTTTCAAGTCTTTACTGACTATCTCTGCCAGAATTAGTCTCAAAAAGACAACAATGAAAAAGGCAAGTATGTCTGATTGCAAAATTCAGTCTCTTTGCTTGAACCATGGATAAATGTGTCTGAACTAATTTACCAGATTGTGATTTAGGGTGGATAAGGCACTCCACCCAAATATCTGCTCCTTGCTACGAATATTTTTACATCTAGCCGATGAGTGGGGCAGAGAGATGGCATGATAAGGTCTAAAATTGAGGTAGCCAGGTGTACCAAGAGTCACCTGTCATGGCTGTAAATTGAGAGAGCTGGAAATTGCCATTTCTTTGTGTAATTATTAAAATCTTATTTGGTCACAATCACTGAGAGCAACTATGGCTATTTCTTGCAGTGAGAGACTCAGGTATGTAAGATATTAAAGGCCAAAGCCCTAAAGGACTATCAGTACTAAGTTTTGAATAATTTTAGATGGAATTAAACAATTTTATTAACTTCAGTCACTTCTAATGAAGATGGGCTTACTGCTATTCTCACTGAGAGAATGCCACTGAATCACACCTGTTTATATTGCCTGTCAAAGCAGTGTAGTTTCTCTGCATTTCTATAAGAAGACAACAAGAGTTCATGAATTTCTTTCAAGTGCTGTTGGGTGATGCTAAAGGAATTGCTAAATTAGCCTTAGTCACAGTAAGACCTTTTTTTTACCACTTTCTGGAATGTTGAATATAATGCTTTGAAAGTAACAGGTTCCAATCTCATTTAGTCATTCTTTTGTTTATAAAATTAAAAATTATGGGAAAAAAAATGGAAAAATAAGATGCTTTACTTATAAAGATGTTCTGTATAATTCTAAGAGTCGGCTCAGATAACATCATCTTTTATTAAGAAATCATGGAGTATAGCTCAGAATAATCTGTTTAGGTTTATGTTACAAAAAGAATAACTAAAACATGAGTAGTAGTTTAAACGAAAAAAAAAAAAAAATCTTAACATAATCCTAGAAGGGAGCATCTATCTTTTGCTCTTTATCCTCTTAAGAAAACCATTCACACTGCTCTATTCTACTGTAGATTTTCAGGACAGAGTTAGAGATTAACATTATAACAAAACTAACTTGAGCAGGTTAAAAAAAGAGGTCATCCATTTTGAGTAATGGGCCGGTCAAGCTAGATCACAAATCTGAAACATTTCTGTCATATACTTATAAGTAATAAATCTTTATGAGACCAGGATTCATGCAAACTTCTCAGAAATATGGAAGCTTGGGCAGAAATTACTATAAATGCACATTTGCCCTGAGATGCCATCTCTCAGTACCACATTGAGGACACATATAGCCAATGAACTGGGTCACATAATGTGTGAAGACAAGAGACCAAAATATTCTGGGATTAGAACCAGCTTTGGTCCCTTTTGACAACACGAGCAAGGTTTTTGCACACAAGTATATCACAGCTGGGAAAGCAGCCAATAAGCCTTGTATTCTCTTCTATCATAAACCCTGCCAAGTCATATCTGATTTAACTACTGCAGATTTTCAGCCCATTAAAACTAATTTTTAGACCAAATAGCCACGGTCTTTCTGTTTTACTAAAAATGAAAACAGGATAGTTTGGGCGCATGAAGTTCTGAGATCTCAGATGGAATTTGGACCAAATGTAATATTTCATTTGCAAAGCTGCAGTGCTTGTAGAAGAAGCTTGCACAATGTAGTGTCTTACTTGCTAAGCAGTAAGGTAGTGTCATCAGAGTCCATTAAAAATAGCATGATTCAAAATTAAGTTTTTTCCTTATAAAATCTCAAATTTGGAACATCCTGGGTACAAAATTACTAACCCTGAAAAATGAACAAACTGATGGCCATCCATCCTTTTCCTTCTGGCATGTGAATGTACTTTAAATAACACATCCAGATCACTGCAGGCTATTACTAATCCAGTATAACTGTACAATGTGAATTATTTTTGTACGTTTATAAGAAGATTAATTAGTACTAATGAGTTTTACAGCATGAAGTCCTTTAATATAGTGAATTTTACAATATTAAAGACTGTGTACTTACATCAACAATCAGGAAGTCCAGCCAGCACCAAGCATTGGTAAAATAAATTTGAAAACCATATGCTACCCATTTTAAAAGCATTTCCAAAATGAAAATATATGTAAAAACTTTGTCAGCATATTCCAGCATGGTCTTGATAGTTTTGCGCTGTTCAATATATATGTCTTCAAAAGCCTATAAAAAACCATATCCAGGTATTACTAATGTTTCACAGAATATACATTATAAAAATAAGGAATAAATAATAAAAAATATAGGTTGGTCAGAGCTAATTTTCCTTCCTTGTTCTTCTGCATCCTCTTATTTTACCTATTTCCCATCTTTAAGAATACTACAAACTGGAGCAACTTTATGTATTCTGCCCTTTCTGGGGTTACATATCTATATATCCCAGTTTCCTAATGAAGAAATAAGGCATGAATTTTTATCCACTATGGCATTAAAAACTTGGACATGCAGCAAAAAACCCCAAACATTTCTTATACCAAATCTGTTCCATATATGTATATTCCATTCTAGAAAGCAGTTAGAGAGATCACATTTCTATGCTCCTTCAATTGAACTTATGTCTAAAAGTAAAATTAAAAAGTATTTGCTAGAATGTGTGCTAGTTGTATGCAAGTTGATACTATAGCACATGTTCAACTTGAGTAAACCTGGAAATGTGGGTAATGTAATCTTGTTGGAAATCTGTCAGTTTCCTATCTCCCACCTCCAAAAAAAAAGGAACAGAATGAAGTCATTATTCTGGGTTTTATATGGTCTTTTGTTAGCAGAACCCAAAAAGTGGCTGAGCCCAGAAGGACCTGAGGACTTAAAATCATATATTTATCTATATTTTCACAGTTAATAATGGTCTTTTGTACTCAAATCCCCTGACAAACATGCTGAAAATTGGCAGCCAATTTAAACATTGAGTAGCTATGTGGGCTGAAATAAAATTGCACCAGCTTTACAGTGGTAAACAAAAGTATCACTAAAAAAGGGCATGTGAAATTTAATAAGCCTCCATGTTTCATTCTATTCTGAAATGATGAAATGCAGTAGTTTTTTACAGCTAAAACCAAACCAAATCTTTCTGAAAAAAATTTGAATTTTGCTGGCTCTAAGGAGATACCTAAATATTTCAGCATTTTTCTACTTACTAGTGCTCCGCTGCTGAGGAGAATCATGAAGACAATGAAAGTTTCAAACCAGTTGTGCTCAACTATGCTGTAGCAGGTTTTTCTAAGATTCCACCAAATTTTTCCTTTGCCATCCTCTATACTTACTTGACAACATGGAAATTTCTGCACACAACCTGCATTAGATTTAAGAGATATTAGCATCCAAAAGCAAATTATTTCAAAGTCAATATTTACTCTGGTATCAACATTGTTAGAAGCTTTAAAAAAATTTATAATATTTTTTTAAACTAACATCTAGAATCCTCTCTGACAGGATGTTGAATGTCTGAATTTAGATAAGCAACTTGGAGAGAAACCAAACAATAGTAGACAATTATGAGTAAACTCAATTCAAAAAACATTGATATTTTTGACTGTTGGTGTCTAACTATTCCATTTGTTGATGAAGTCTCACAAAATTTTTTTCCAAATTTCAAGGGCCCTTTCAAATAACTGAAAAGCATTTTAAGAATAGAAAAGTGCATGAAGATTCTTAGTTACAAGATGTATGCAGTTGCCAGGCAGATAAAGTTACTCAATGCCTAAGGGAAACTCTTTGGCATCTATTTCCAGCATCCTAGGCTATGAGTATTTTCTTTCAGTTGTTGAAGTCATGAAGATCCACCAGATCTTAAAGTCTCAAGTACTTAAATATGCCTGGCAATAGTGTCATTTTACTAATGCCTTCACTTAATACTTAAGTCAAGTTAGTCTACAACCTTCTGTAAAACAGGCTTCTGGTTCAAGAGCTTCTTCACTTTCAATTTCTGCTTGTTCACCCTCGCCAGGAGGAGCAATATCAACTGTGCTGCCTTCTGATGAACTGGATGCATTTAGTTTCTGCAAGTAAAGTTTTTTCTCATTAGATGCATATTCTGTAAAAAATTATACTGAATCAAATTATGCCAGTGTCTGACTTTTGAAGAATGATAGATTTATATTGATAAATATGCATCACCATAAGTAAAAACACAGTAATGCCATGTACATTGTACAGTTCTGTTTCCCAGTCTATCTTCTCATATGGAACAATTAAATATAATTTGACTACTAACCTGATCCACATATAAGACTTTTGAAGTACTCTCAATAGTATTAAAACTCTAGAGCTTGCATGTACCACACTCTCAGGTTATTTCATTTTCCTTACTATATTGGATTACACTGAAAATGTGTCTTAATTTGCTCAGTGAAATGAACTAACAGAAAGCTCTCTATATATCTTCATGTCCACTACAGATGGTACTTTCCAAACATAAAGCATATCTGGATTAAGAAGCTGTGAATTTAATGGAAAATTTCTGCACAATTTAATTTTTGCAGAAAGCACAAATTACCAGATCCAAAAGATCTTCTTTACATTGCAATCTCCTATGCATATCAAGAACACTCCTGAGGTCCTTTCCATACCATATTTTTCTATCATTCTACTGCTTTTGTGTACAGTGAAATACCATAGTCCTTACTACAGTAAAAACACTACTAGGTCTGAAAACTGCAAGAACTGGGGGGTGACATAAAGCAACTGAAATTAAGTAAATTTTATCAAGTACATTGAAATTTGGATCAGGTCAGGCATTTTTATTAGTCATGCAAGACTGCCCATAATTTTATGCTTTTAAGAAAGCATATTTTGAAAGAACAAACCTGCTAAAGATGCACACAACTAACGCAATAACTGGACATAGACTTCATAAGTTGTTTTCAGCTATCAATACTGTTTGCATCTTTAATTACTTTAATCCAAAATACATTCTCTTTTACTGTGAAATAAGGCTTGTAATCAGAAAGCAACATTAAAAAAAAGCATGACAGAGAAACACTTCTGGTTTATACCAGTAATACACTGGAATTTTGAGGAGGATGTAGAATGCATCTCTTACTTAAATACACTAAATTGTGCAGCCAGTGATATAACAAAAGGGCATTTGGCCACAGACTAGATTTGTTGTTTCAGCTGAGCAGATCTGATCATGCCCTTCAACATATATAAAGACCTTTCTATACCAGTTTTTTGAGAGAATGCTTAATACCAAATACTTTTCCCATTTAGTTTTCAAAATAATGACATTTTTGGAATATACAAAAATACTGTTCAGCTGATTTGAATAATTTTGCAACAAATAATGAACAGTAACTTCTTTAAAGAGGTATCCCCATGTGTATTTATCTCTTCAGTTAAAACCCAGTCCCTTCACAGAAATGCACTGGGAGCTAAGGGCTTTTTTCTTCCAGAAATGAAGTAAATGGCACATATATATCTAAATATAGTTTGGTAAGCAATTATTTCCTCACATTCAACTCTTGCATGAGATGAATGAAGATAAAAAAGAAATCCCTGTTGGGTGATGGATGATTTTAGGGTTAAGTTTCAAGAAGCTGCCTGTCACACACAGGCACAAATGTGGTCAATACAGGATCACTCAGCCCTCAGGTTGCATTATGACCAAAAAGAAAGAACCTGTAACATAATAGGAAAGACTTCTGACAAGCACACAGGTATGAGTTTGAAAACCATTCTCTCTCTTGAAATATGATCTGTCATACATGGAAAATCATGCTAGCAAATTTGAAATGATTTGGACAAATATACTGAGATTTGGATGTTGCCAATGGTTAATTTTTGCTTAGTAAAGATGTTAAAATATTGTTTTCTTTCTCACATTGCATTTCCTCTATGATTTCCAAAATTTATATATGTAAAATAATTACAGCTGTATAGACTCTAAATGGAATATTTTATTACTGGTCACGTAGATCAGTGGGTCTGAAATAAAATATTGTGGGCTTCATATAATGAGAATTTTTTAAACTGTGCTTTCTGCATTACATTTACAGACCAAAATGCACATTAATGTACACTATATTAAATGTTATTAACACACCACCTTGTTATCCACACATGAGGCTCTCTTTTGAAAAGGAAATAAAATATGTCAATTAACTCTCATTTTATATATCATTGTAATACAAACAAATAAGAAGTCTGAAACCTGTCACTGAAATTATAGGCAGTTTCTTCATTAAATAAAAAACAGGTCTTGTGAAAATAATAATCTGTCACATTCAAGATTGGAATATTAAAACTAATTCATGTCCTGATCAATCATCATTAAATCAATTACTGTCTCAATAGTTGCAAGAAAAAGGTTCATACTAAGCATCAATTATTAATATATATAAGCGCAAATTAAAAGGCAATTTAACTGCATCTTCCCATGTAAGCTGTTTTGGATAGTCCTATCAGCATAGTTGCTAAAAACCAGTTTACTGAAATGCAATTTATAATCAATGCAGACAAAAGCTACTATAACTGTCTTCATTATTTTTCACATAAAGTGTTCTCTTCATTATTTTTCAAATAATCTCAAACAATTGTATTATTAGAAAAACCACCTCATTGGGTTAATAAAACTCCTCTTCTTTGCTTCAAGACCCTAAATTAGGAAAGAATCATTGCATTTTGAATAAGTTGATGGTAAAGATAATTTTTGTTTCCAGCAATAAAACTAGTAAGAATCTCAAGTTACACGATGGATTAACAGTCTTCTCTTCAGCCTCTAGAACACACCATGCCCTGCAAGTGCTTATTTGCATCTTCAGTGATATCACATTTTCCTTTACAAGGATACATTTGAAAGCAATTGCTTATGATGCAGCATTCTCAAGACCTGAATCAGCAAAACAACATGCTTGACTAGAGCAGAAGCCTGAGCAATGCTGTGGAAATCACACACAAAAAAGAAAATAAAAGATTACCTCCATGGGATTATATTTTTTTGAAAAGCGTGGTATATAAGTATTATAAATATGACTGTACAGAATACAACATGAAGAAATGCTTAATCGCCAACCCAAATACTTTATTAATATGTGTATAATCAGCCTCTATACTGTCCTTTCTGAGCAATGCATCTTTTTTCAACAGCTCAGATTGTTAAAACAGGCTTTGACCAACAGCATGTTAATGTGCCCATTTACAAGAAAACGCATTCACTTAAGACCTGGTCTTGCTCTCATTTGATTTTATTCTAGATTTCAATAAGAGCAAGAGCAGGCTACTAAATTTAAAGCTTTACAAACAGCTTCATGATTCAAGTGACAATAAAATAAAGGGATTCAGCCATTACAAATTGCTTTTAGTAATTCAGCCATGTGGTTTTATCCTTTGAATCTTGAAAGCTGCACTGTAATTGAGTGACAAAATATTAAATAATTTTTGGGATTAATGATTAATTATATTAATTATAAAATATATTAATTATAATTAAATAATTGGGATCAATGATCCAAAACTGATTCTAAACTGACTTGAACTATCAGCTCTTATATTTGATTTTTATATAATATTAAGAAAACTACTTTAAAAATATCTCTTACCTTATAAGATTTATATAATGTTTGAAGCATATCTTGGCTTAAAATTTAATCAATAAAATCTGAGAATTTTCAGAATACACACCAATAGGAATTTCTTGTGCCATCTCTGGACAACTTATACTATACCATAACATAGATCATACTACTCTATAATCAATGGTACAAAATTAAGCCAGTGAGACTCTGCCTGCAGGAAGCAGCTTTGAATCCTGCTACAGAACTGAAATCTCAATCTCAATGAAATTTTGATGCCTAATTTTACTAGAATAATTTGACCTTAGTTTCATATAATTTTGGCTCGTGTGCAATATTCACTCTCCCTACTCCTGAAGGCTCCTGATGCATAATGCACATCAATGGAGATTATACTTGCCTATAATGGAAAGAAAACTGGGGTAAATGTACATGGAATTTCATAAAAGTTATGCTGACTCCTCCATGGTCTTTCTAATTTACACCAAGTCAAGTCCTGCAACTCAGTCACAGACTGCTATCATAAAACACCTTCCAAAATACCACTACTTATGAAGGAGTTTAAAGTTTAAGAAGAGAGTATTTATAAAATGCTTTGCTTTGAGAATTTTTTAAGGGGGGTTATTTGCTAAGTATAATTTCAGCAATTATGAAACTGTTTGCTCTGCTTGTAGCTTATAAAACTCAAGATATTCACTGCCCAAATGAATACAGAATGTTGTTTGTAGCATCTTGAGATTTGCATTACAGTGCATTGTAGATTTAGAAGTATAACTGCAATTTTAATGCAAGTAGCTACTGCAATCATTTAAATGTTATTCATTAAGAAGCTGAAGTTGTGGCAGTTATTGTTATATAAATCGCTTAACACATTTCATTAAGTATTTACATTTATAAGGGCTGAATCAAAAAGGGTTGTTTTTATTTTTTAAAAACTGTGCATGCTGCCTTTTTCTTTAGCTTCTTTAATATGTAACATTCCAGTACTTTTATGATCCATACTTCAAAACCTGTAGAGCATGCAGGTATTGATAAAGACTGTATTAAAATATCCAGAATAATTATTAGCAGAATTACAAAATGTATGTCGGGGTTGCCAGTCCTGCCTGACCATGCTGTGATGCGAGTCCCGTGACTCAGCAGAGAGCAGCTGTGCATGTTTGTACTTCATTGCAATGGATAGGGAAGGTACAGAGCTGAATAGCATGCAGGCCAGTCAAAATCCATTAAAAAGTGATTATATATATATATACATATATATGTATAACTTGCTTAGGTAACCTGTGTGAAAGTGGTGACACGTTGCTCTACCTGGTTAAAAAGCACCAGAGCTGCATTCTTGATTGCTCCAGCTTGGTTTTACCCCTGTGAGAAGTAAGAATGGTAGGTAGTGAAGTTCAAGACATAGGATCTCTAGTTTTTGGAATCTCTAATTCAAACATGGCTTTCACACAGTTAAAACATAATTATGAAATATTTTATGAATAATTGGCATAAAGGGAAATACATACCACCTGAAATGTTCAACAAACTTTTCTACAGAACTTGTTAGTTTATTTTAGAGAAATAAGAAATGCAGAAGCTAGACCTAATAATCCACATTCTGAAATTATGATTCACAAATTAAATTCAAATTAGTTAAATTAATAAAGACATGGTTAGCAGATTTGGAAAGTATTCCAGTATTTATGTAGTGCTTAATGCATATTAAAAAGATTTTAAATTTTTTGTTGGTTTAATGTTCTAGTCTTGATTTAACTATGTCATTATCTCTTCTATTTGCAAAAAATGTACACACAGTAGGCAATATACTTTGAAGAAGTATGTTTTCCCATTCCTTCTTCATTCTCTGATGATTGTTGTAGAACTTACAGATCTCAATGAAAATAAAACTCCTTTATTTCTGTTCAAATTAAATATGATGAAATATCATGCTTTGTAAGTTTCTAGTTTAAAGTTAATATGCTATGTAATTCTGACTCTATAATCTATCTCTAATTGTTTTAAAAGAGGACTGGATTGATGGAAGGACAGTGGCCCATCAGTTTATCCAGAGACACGGTTTCATTCATCAGTTATCCACAGCTAGTTCATAATATAAAGAATCTGTGACTTTTGAAGATAATGTCCCAGAATTGGTGAGTTTTAGAAAAAGGGAACTTAGACAGTTGGATATTTTAAAAGAAATGTAATAAAAAATCATCCAACAAATTGATCAAATCACTACTGGGTATGTTTTTGTCAAGAAATTTCTTGAAGCCCAAAGACAATGCTTAACTTTTGAGAATGTAACAACTATGTTTGTGTCATTTTACTTCACCTAATCACAAAGGCACTAGTGAAGCCAATCAGAAAACCTCATTTATTATTGTCTTGAAAATTCAGTGGATTAGACGATGAAGGATATTTTTAATTTTATTAAAACCATCTGTTGTGATATCAGAAGTTAACTGAACAGCCTTCACTTCTCCAGTCTGAATTTGTACTTACTGTACATAAACTGTAGATAGAAAGGCTTTTGGAATTCTGAATGATAGTGGCCTGTAGGTATATGTATTTCTCTAGTTGTGAAATAAGCTTTCCATAACTGATGAATATCTTTGAAATTACTTTCCCATGTTGGAACACAAAACCTTATTCATAAAGTTGTGATTCAGATATAATGAATAGTTAAGTGGTACAGAAATACAATAGTTAGGAATCTTATGTTTGATAAGATCATAATCTACTCATTTCACTGATTAGCAAGCATATTTTGTAATAGAAACAACATCCACAAAGCTAACTTTAAAAAGTACCAAATTATCCCCATTAGTTACTTCTAATTTTCTTATTATCTTTAAAATTATCCCAAGTATCTTACTTGCAGAGTAGAAATCTTTTATTTCTGATGGTTATTTCATTAGGTATTGCACGTCTATTTTCAAACATTAGACATTAAAAAAAATCTCCTTCAATGTATCAATGACATGTTCACTTCTTTCAGGTACTTTCAGCTAACTATTACTCCAAAGCAGTGGGTAACTTTTAAGTCTAATAAAAATTATTATTCTGTTTCATCCAAATTTCTAGTGATATGTATTAGAAAGATTGTGTTTATGTCTGGAATTTGCAGCCAGGTTTCAGGATAGATTCTGGCAGATTTGGGAAGTTACTAAGTAGCAAATTAATTAGAAAGTGTTTTCATGAAAAGGGTGGTGAAGGAACCAGCCTTCCAAACGAAACTCGGTGGCTAGAGTTATTTTGTACCATAGTATATCTGATAATAAAAATAGGAAAAATTAAAATTTGTTCCTCACAGCAGTTACAATATCTATAGTAATTACCTGCTCTTGGCATATTCCTCAGGGACACAAAGCCCTTGCCCTACTTCTAGCATGGCCTGTTATTGCTGACAGACTTTTAAATAATTATTCTGCTCTTAACATCAGGAACAGTCAGTATGACACCAGAAAAAAACAGTTCATTTTACAGTTCCTGTGCAGATCTAGCTTCCCACAGCTCTGTCATAAAAAAAAAAAAAATAGTTATTAAAGGTGATACCACTTAAGGGTATTTTAAATGCTAAGTACTGCCACAGTTAAGGCAGGGAAAGTTCTGCCCCATCTCTTACCCCTCCTTTTTGTAGACCAGGCCTTCTCCTAACAGGAATGTTGTCTCACTGGTATCCCTTGAGAAGCAAAATAAAGTAAATGATGGTGTACTGTTCTAGAGATGTAACTTGAACACTGCGCCAATATTATCTTTATTTTCCTCAAAAGACAATCAGACAATCTGAAGGCAGCAAAAGATTCAACAGTACTCTTGACTTGGTAGGAGAAGATGGAAATTTTCACAAATTACTGTATGTCAGGACATTTGTTTATATACTACCAAAGCAGGTGGATTTTTATACATGCAATTAAAAAAAAAAAAAAAAGCATATCCTTTTCCTAAAAATCATCCAGAAGGAATGGAATAAAGAATCCAGAACAGAAATGATATTAATATATAATGAATTCACAATTTTCAAGGTACTGATGAGGTCCTGTCTTGTTAGATACCATTCACAATATGCACACTTCCACTGTATAAATACATGCCAGACAGTTAAATGCTAGACAGCTGGGAGTGAACAGAACTTGAGGGATGCGCCATTGCTCCAGCTTTGCAGTGGTAGTGACTATTACATTCTGTGGAAATCATGAGGCTCCACAGAAATCCTAGGCTTATCCTTTCCCCATTGAAAATTTCTTCACAAGTTCTTAACATAAACACCATCCACCATCTACTGGCAGATTTCCCACAGTCACATGAAATTTCCTCTTTCAAATTGTTTATACAGACTTCTGGATTTAGTTTCTCTTCCTGAAGACATAAGGATACATTTAAAGTCTGTTAAAAAAAGGTGCATGCCTTTTTGATTTATTATGGTCCTGACACTTCAGGATGGCCCTAGAAGAAAAAAGCATGATGCCTGAACCAAACAAAGATGGGACTGAACAGAGAAAGTGACTTGTAAAAGTCACCTTGAAATTGCTAACATTCAGAACTTGTCAGCACAACAAGAGCTTTTACTCAGTTTTCTTGGGGTGTACTTACATCATATATTCACTTGGAAAGCAGAGAAGTTTCTGCCTTTTCATTGCATTTTCTTTTGTCCTCAGCTGTTCTGACAGAATATATGTCAGCACACTGTAAACTGAACCAATCTATCTTAAAGAAGAAATGTACAAATAATACCTATGGGATGATGCTATTTAACATACATCACTCTAGTGACATGCCATATAGTATAGACCCACAAAAACTGTAACAGAGAAAGTGGTAAAGAGTGCCAGGGGATAAGGAGCCAAGTGTGGATGGCAACTTCCCAAGCCAGCTCTGCTGCTGAGGCTAATGTCACGTAACCACACATTGAAGTATCTGCATAGCTTGTAAGCTTCCCAGCTTCCTAATGCATATTACAAACTTTTAAAAAAGGAACATATTCAAGAAATATTTAGGCATGTGACTTCATAAGATGGAGTTACTAGGAAGGAACTTATTGCTGTATTTATCAAAACTAACCACCTAAAGCAGAAAATTTATAGCATAATCTCTTTTTAAAGAACATGAGAATATATGAAAAGATGTAGAGGACTTTGCTAAAGGTTCATTGGAAAAGACAACTTTTATTAGGTCAGCTTACATGAAAAACGCTCAACTCTAGATCAGCTTATGTGAAAAATGCTTAACCCTTAGATCCAGAGTCATTCAGAAAGCTTTTTTTTAATATTAGTTGATCTCATAAATTATATCACTTTACACTTCCTGTATCTCTTATATTCTTAAATTGTCATGAATATGCACTATCTTATACATCTGCACTGAAAATGTTTGTCTCAAAACTGAGCGACACAAATGACAGAACATCTTGTTCTTAATCATACAGTTGTTACGCAGAGTAACTTCTTTGCAGTTGCAAATAAACAGGGACTCTTTATGTTCCTTTATGTTCTTTAGCAACTAAACCGTACTGTGGTTGGTTAACCAGATCATGGCTATCCATGGTCCAGTCATCCATATGATGTTACGTGGTATAGTTTGGTATTGCTGAGGAATACAACTTTACTTGCACATACAGCAGCCATACAGTCAGGAATGCAGGACTTCTATATAAGAGCTTTTTTTCTGGTAAGCAAACCCTGTTGTATTAATGAGTTATTGAAAAACAATGCGGCTTTTAATCTAATTGAAATCATATTTATCGATGGTTCCTGATCCCTTAAACCTCACACTTCCTACATTTCTAATGGCATTGGATGTAATTATATTCTGCTAATGCACTTCTTAGCTTGTCATTGATCATTACTCCAACATACAAGGTTAAGATACTGCTTTACCACAATATTGATTAGTATCTGAATTACATCAATTCAGTCATCTGAAGCCAAAATCTACATGGATATTACCCACAAAACTTTTTATATAATCCAAAATATATCACTGATTTATGATGTCTCAGGTTTCATTTTTAGAACTACCCTAAATACAAAAAAAAAATTAATTCTCCACTTATATTTGATTGGGTGTACAAAGCTGAATACTCTTGATTATTCCTTAGCCTTCTACATTATTCTTATTCCATAAATCCTGATCACATTACAGGTATCACAGAAAGAATGCTTTATGAAATGTATGCTAGTCCTACAATGTCTTAAAATTGTGAAAGAAATAATTGTGTTTAAAATGATACATCTTCCAAATGCTAATAAACAGAGTACTATAAATGGAAACTCTAATGACCCTGTATTATACCATCATGTAGGGTAATTTTTTTCTTGAATTATAATTGCATAAAATCATAAAATCTCTTAACATGGGATAAGAGAGTTTTTAAACAATTCTAAGTAAGTAATTAAGAAATATGTAAATGCATGACTGGAATGTGATTATTAAAATACAAAAAATCCTACCTGTTTGCTTTCTTCCATATCAGATTCGCTGCTAAATTCTTCCGTATTTAAGTTTTCAAAATCTGATTCTCCAACTGCAATTGGCACGGTCACAGTGAGGCCTGGATTGTTTATGAATGACATGTAATCATTTTCATCAATTACGTATTTTTCCACACTGCTGCCTGTGCCTACACCACTGGTGGTTCCATTCCCATCTTTAAGATAATTCAGATCTTTACTTATTTCAACCGCAGTATGATTGGAAATGCAGCTGTCTTTCTTCTTGTTTAGCTCTTCAAGTGCTTTGATTTCCTCTAAAGCTTTCTGCTTCCTAACAAAGGCTTTTTGGATGAACTCCTGCATCTTTTTTTTAACGTAATCTATTCCCTTCTGAATTCTTGCCACAGCAATCTGGAGATTGTTCATTTCATTATCATCATCAGTAGCAGCAAGGTTGTCTGAGCTAAATGAGCTCAGCAGCAAGGCCAGAAATAGGTTCAATACCTAAAGGATGAGAGAATACAGTTGTCTAATAAATACATAGATATAAGAAGTAAATGGTGCTCTGCATATTTCTGCGGATATAATGTCAAGATTGCCAGGTCGTGTAAACACTAGGATATGAACATTTTTAATTTTATTCTATAAAAATTAAAATAATGTTAAAATATATAATTGAAGGAAAAGAATTTTGACAGGTAATGAAATATAGTTTGTAGACATATCAGACTGAACTGCAGAGGTTAACAGTAAAATAAATCTAAAAATAAAGTAAAAGTGTAAGTCATGCATTCCAATGATAATTCTGATTTCTAAGAAGTTCTCACCAATTCGATATTTATCAATTGAACCTTTGGCATTATAACTTCTCAGCTTGAATGAACTTTTCTGTAGAGTTTCCCTCTATAATATTGAGCGAGAAGCTTTTTTTTTTTTTAGGATGGTTTTAGAATTATTAGAATGATTTAGAATGAAACCTAAACAGGCCAAAAGGTTCAGTTGTACAGCTCATTGCCGAGCTGTAAGGTATTTTGTAAGTTTGTTCGTTTGTTTGTTTTTTTGTAAGGTACATTGTGCATCAGAGTTAATGTTCAAAAATGTTCATCACATACCACTAGGTTTCCAATCACCATGACCAGCATGAAAACAATAAGGCACATAGTTTGGCCTGCAACCTCCATGCAGTCCCACATTGTTTCTATCCATTCTCCACACAGCACTCGGAACACAATCAAGAAAGAGTGGAAGAAGTCATGCATGTGCCAGCGTGGAAGTTCACAGTCACTGGAGATCTTGCAGACACATTCCTTGTAGCTTTTCCCAAACAGCTGCATCCCAACCACAGCGAAAATGAACACAATGATGGCCAGCACCAGGGTCAGATTTCCCAAAGCCCCCACTGAGTTGCCAATAATCTTAATCAGCATATTTAGAGTTGGCCAAGATTTTGCTAATTTAAAAACTCGAAGCTGAAAAACAAAAACGTAGAGGAATAATTAGTGTTAGTTATGAAATAGAAGTTAGGTCTAAGTTATTTTGCAGAGCATATCAGTTTCTGTAGATTAATTTGTAGGAACATATTATTTTAATGGAAAGTAGAGAGCATGGAGTATTTGCCTAAACTGCAGTGTTCTGCATTTTGTCTTACTGGTGCACATATAAAAACCTATGCAATTTCTATTTGTACCACATTTGATTTTAATATTTTTAAATGTTTACTTATGGATGATTACTAAACAATTTGAAAAGAGATTTTAGATGTTTATACTCTTCTCCATCACCTTCACTACACCCTCTTTGGTTCCACTTATACCACAGCACCACATGAGGTCTTGCAGGCTGTTAGAGCCCAGTTCTTGAAGTGACAATTTGACTCTGATACTGTGATGTCCATTCAAGTCATAAACACTAACTTATAAATAACATTCAGTAACCAAAATATGGCATGTGAAGCTGGTACCACTGCAGCTGATGCTAACAAGCTAAGTGGCTGCTTCCTTCTCTCTGTATTAGGAAATAACCCAGGTTTTCAAGTATTGTGATAACTATTATTAATGGAGACTTTTAAATCATTACTATCATGCATCCAGTAAACATACCTATAAAATAGTTTGTGTACAATATTAATTGCTATGAAAAATTTGTATTTTTAGTGGAAGCTCAATAATACTTCAATATAAGTGTTATTCTAAAGTCAGTTTGTTATGACTGTTACTTGTAATGGATTTACTAAATGTTTATTTTCGGTGCCCATTAAAATCAATGTTGTGAAGAGAGGACCAACTTAGGGCTTTTATGAGTAGCACAAAGTAAAGTTCACAATATAAAAACTAAAAATGTTATGATTCTTTATGCTGGTGGCAATATATACATTTTTACAGATTCAGCTTTGCTGAATCTTAACAAAATCAGTATAACAAAGATTTACAAAATTCTCAAAAGGTAGCAGTTAGTGTTATGTTGGCAAAGGGTATCAGTAGGATAGGATATCAATAGGATATTTTGATACCAGAAGATAAAGCATATCAGCTGACAAACATCTTTAACTTGTACTTATCGAATATGGCTTGCAAATTAGGCATTTATAAAAAATAACGTGAGCCATTTAAATATATATCTTTACAATGCAATTGTAAAAAAACCCAATTATTTCAGACATCAGCACATTTTTTTTGAGTGAGACAATTGAATGCAAACATTTAATTATGAAAGTATTTACCAGTCTGAATGACCGAAGAACAGATAAACCTTCAACATTTGCAAGGCCTAGCTCCATTAAACTAAGGCTAACGATGATACCATCAAAAATATTCCAGCCTTCTTGGAAATAATAATATGGGTCCATGGCAATTATCTTTAGTACCATTTCTGCTGTGAATATCCCAGTGAATACCTAAAACAAAATGTAATTAATTAGTTGAGTTGTTATGAGAAATTTATTTACCTGAGTAGAATTATCTAACTGAGCTTGAGTTCTCATACCTGTTACTTGTACCTGTTACTATACAAAACAGACGATCGCTATCTCCAAATGGCATCAAAGTATTTCTAAACACTGAAAAATTATAATTAAAAACAGATTACCAAATTGGGACAGATACAGGAGGGCAGAGGTTTGATAAAGCTATAAAGAGCTATTCACCAGTTAGCAGCTCAGCTCTGGTTCATATTTGACTCATATGTGGTGGACTATACATCCAGCAGATGATGTGATATGATCCATTGTTTTCAGTCCTGTTTCTAGAGGATAGTCCCAGTAAAGCAAAAGAAGACTTGACAGCATTTTTTTTTTTTTCCCATGATCACAATCTAAACAGAAGTGTTAATAGAAATCTCTGGGGAGAGACTTTCTAAGGTCTGTCTTTTAGGTCAGTGTTGGAGTATGGGTGGAACGGACAGGGGAAGTTGGAGTTTCTTGCACTGAGCTTTTTGTAAAGTTATAGAGGTTTCATGCACAGCTACTCTTCTATGTGACAGCTATTTCCTTTTGGGAAAAAGAACTTGATGGTGATAATGTTCTTTGGAATATATGGAAGTGCCAAATCCAAAATTATCAATAGTCCTTAGTGTTTTAAAGTCTAGAATTTAAGGCAACACTTTCTTCCAATGAGTAGTGATCAGTGGTTTGTGGAGCAAAATAAAGATGTTTGGTGCAAAACCACTAAAAACATCAATATTCTGCAGAAGACTCAGATAATATCCTAGATGATCCTAAAGTCTACTGAAGTACACCAACACACTCTGCCAATACCTTATGATAGTTGTTTACCCAGCTTGTTCCCAGTTCTCCCAAACCAAGTTTTATGGAAGCAAAGCTGACTTTTTACATCCCTGTATAACTATAGTCATGATTACCTTTAAATTTAACAAGAATAGGAAGTGGATATAATGCTGTGAAAACATTCACCATTGTCAAAGTGTAAATATTGCCATTTTTAGAAGTGTATACTTTTGAGAAACTAGAAATACAGCAATAAACACTATACTATTTAATTGATATATATTACCATGTAATCAGAAGATTGTAACAGCTATTGCTCTTTGTGTTAAAGAGATCACAACAAAGATTGTTCTTGACAGAATTGTCCTATTTGTCAAAATGATTGGGGAAAAAAAAAACAAACCACAATTAAAAGCATTTAATTTTAAAATATTTTCTTCATATTTTCTAGCATGGGTTATTACCCATTCTAGCCACAAACTACTTTTTCTTGAGAATAACTGTATCCCCAAATATAAAAAAATACCTTTTAACAGAAGCAAACTTAATTTTTCTTGTAATTACTGATGACTTTTAAATACTGAAGGAATTTTAGTATTATGAAAATGACAATTGCATTTTAGAACTACTTCCTCCTTTTCATTAAAATGCTACAGAAAAGGCAGTCATATTTGTCATATTTAATCTATCCTCAAACAGGCCATGATGTCACAAGCTAAGAATAAATTAACATATTTTGAATGGAAACCACAAAATTCAAGTTAATAGATTATTACAGTGAGAAACAGAATTTAATTGAAACCAGCAGGTATAGTATTCACTGCATATATATACTTCTAATTAAGGATATTGGATTGTTACAAAAGTAGTTAAAAACATGAGATTGGAAAAGGCAGAAGACCTTGTAAGTATAAATGATTGGAGGGAAATAACTCTAACACTACGACCGACCAACATTTTAAAATACAATATTCTGTAGTCCATGATGAATATAAGAATATTCCAGCAATTACATCTTTGTCCAGGAGAAAGGAAATTGTAATGCACACAGGACCTTGTAGGGTGGTAAGTTCAATTCTAGTTCTAATTAAAAAAAAAAAAATTCATAGAAGACTGTATTACCAGTACATATAAGGAAAATGTTTAGTCTTTAAAACATACTCTGGCTGAGAAATCTATTACTGCTCCATTCAAATATCAGCAAACTTTCAAAACTAAGCTCTTTACAGGATTAGTTCAGAACACGGGTTGGTTCTGATTTTCAGGACAGCATGCTGTGTGTGTCAATCCAGACCTCTCCTGTGTAAACTATTGGTAGTTGTGTGAGCTGGCAAAAAATTATAAATGTATGAATCTTCTGAAAAAACACTTGCAGGGTTCAGTCCTCTCCTTCCTGAGCATTAGAGGCAAATGGAGAGAAACAGCCAAGAATATTTAATTGCTATGCCTAGGTGTCTGCTCAGAAAATGAATTACATGTAACTCCTAAAATCAGGAAAGACATCACTAATAAACTTACAGCTATAAGGTGCTTCTTGTTGGAGAATAACTAATAATTTCTAGTTTTATTAAGTATTTTTTAGTTACCTGAAGTGGCAAATACTTCATGCTAACAAGAAATATGCCTTTTTTGGAAATGCATATATGACACTTGAATATTACATCATTTTTTAACAGAACAAAAATATTTTCTGTGATGGAATATCAATACCTTGGTAAAAATTAAATAATCTACATTACAAAAATTAAATAATTTTACATTTGAAAAAAAAATCCAAGGTTTCTTAAGAAATCTTAATAAATCTGACAATCCAGTGAAGTCTGCACTTCCATACATATTCAGTTATTTCATTATAGTAGTCACAAAATAGGTTAATGAAAGTTAAAGACTCCAGTAAAAATCACTTCATCTATGAAAATCATATATACAGTTCCTAACTGATTATAAAAATCAACCTGGAATAAATTTAAAAGCAATGCCATGCATTTATGCATTTCTTCTTTTAGAAAAGGTCATTTTACACTAATTAGTGCATGAAACTTACCAAGTTCCCCACAGAAAGGACACTGCTAAACTGTTCTGTCATTGGGTAATGTTCCATGGCCATAAACAAGGTGTTTAAAACAATGCAAATAGTTATAGCAAGGTCAACAAATGGATCCATCACAACCAAGTTGACAACGTGTTTTACTTTTAACCATGGACTCCAGCAATCCCAGATCAAGAAAGTATTTGCAAATCTATACCAGCATGGTGGGCATTTCTGCCTGGATTCTTCAAGCTCTGAAAAAAATAAGAAAGCAAACAAACAAACAAAAACTTTCCAATTATATCCTCCGCATGTTCTTGTTTAAAATATATAAAAAAATTAAATCATGAAAATAAACAACTCACTCTAGCATGAAATTTACCTCACCTGTGTTTAGCCATCTTCAAGCTAAGCATCTAATTTATTTAAGCTCCTCTACAACTAGTGGACAGTGAAATTATCTCTAAAGAGTGATTAATCTCACATGTCTATCTAAAGAAAAAAACACGTTTGTCTCTTTCTCATGACAGCAGGGAGAGTCTACACAGTTCAGGTTGCTTACAGCAGATATCTTAATTTTATGTATTAAAAATTAACATTACTCCATCGTCAGTGAACTGATGTATATAATTTGTATAAGCTTCATAAAATATGATTTTTTGTGTGTTAAGCATATGACATATACATATTTTGATTTGGGCAACTAAAACTATTATATTTGCTGCTACACTGAACCACTACACTATCATATCAGATAAATGACTGGGTGCACATACTTATCATTGCTTATTTGAATCATACATTTGAGTTTGTTTGAAAACAGCTTGTACAGTTGCAGTGTCTATTGAGAAACAGATCAATGTTAGTATTACCAGAACAACTCTGCTCTCAATTAGAATCTTTATGAACTATCTTTTCTTCTGTGTCACTGTCAATATTACAGAATAGTAACTTCTACTGAGTTAATAATAGCAAGGATGAATGTCTAATGTGGTGGAATGTTGAGGACAGCCCAGACGGAAGAATGATATTTGCTTAAGTGAGAAATAATGAAGACTACAAAATATGTAAGAAATGGCCACAACAGTTTTGTTAAAATTTCTGCATAGTGGCTTTAACCCAAATACGAAATTTGCCAGTTTTCAGACATCTGTTAGAGCACAGGGAAGTCTCCATCACTATGAGACTTCTGGAGGACTTTGCTAAAACAGCAAACATGCTATTTTTACATATTTGTTAATAAGGGTTTCCTGCTAAACTCTACACTTTGAGGGCCAGTAGATTGATATTTGCCTCTGATGTTGTCCTATATGGGTGTAATTATGGGAAATTAAACGGTCAGTTGCCACAGCTCTCAAACACATTGAAACTAACAAGCCTGCCCATTACATCAGACTGTAGCCTCCAGGCAGAAAAGGGTGTTGTAAGTCTTAGATATTCTTTATAAACCTTAACAAAGACAGTGCTTCCAAAGGAATATATGAGTTGGCTGGAATAATCACATTCCTGACCATGTAACTCACCATTCCTTGAACTTAGCAACTTCTGAAATAATGGAAACCAGATGTGGGTAGGAGATGACTATCAAGATGATATAGTTTACATCGACATAGTTTGTTTTCTGGCCAGAAGAACAGAACAAACTATTCATCTGGAAGAAGAGAGCAGCACCATCTAAGGAAATATCCTCTCCTCATGAGGTTCAACCAGACCAAGTGCAAGGTCCTGCATCTGGATCAGGGCAATCTGCAGTATCAATACAGTCTGGGCGATGACTGGATTGAAAGTAGCCCTGCAGAGAAGGACACAGGGGTACCAGTGGATGAAAAGCTGGACATGAACTGGCAATGTGCACTCACAGCCCAGAAGGCCAACCATATCCTGGGCTGCATCAAGAGAAGTGTGGCCAGCAGGTTGACAGGTGATTCTCCCACTCTGCTGCACTCTCATGAGACCTCACCTGGAGTATTGTGCTCAGCTCTGGGCACCCCAGCATAAGAAAGATATGAATGTGCTTAAGTGGGTCCAGAGGAGGACCACAAAGATGATCACAAGGCTGGAGCAACTCCTTTTTGAGGACAGGTTGAGAGAGTTGGAACTGTTCATCGTGGAGAACAGGCTTCTGGGAGACCTTATAGTGGTCTTCCAGTACTTGAAGGGGGGCTACAGAAAGATGGGGAAGGACTTTTTATCAGGGAGTGTAGTGATAAGATGAGGGGTAGTCATTTTAAACTGAAAGAGGGTAGATTTAGACTAAATATAAGGAAGAAATTTTTTACTGTGAGGGTGAAGAAATACTGGAACAGGGTGCCCAGAGAGGTGGTAGATGCCCCACCTCTGGAAACATTCAAGGTCACGTTGGATGGGGCTCTGCGCAAACTGATCTAGTTGAAGATGTCCCTGCTTACTGCAAGAAGGTTGGGCTAGATGACCTTTAAAGGTCCCTTCCAGCCCAAACCATTCTATGATTGTGCATTGGTGTGGGTTGATTACAGTTGATTTTTTTTTTCTTTAAAGCTGTCTTTTTTAATTCCAATTTCCTATTGTCTATCTTTAGGTTTGAAATCTAAGGGAAATGGCTGTTCTAGCGCACCAGTGCCTTTAACATGGCAGTTCCTGTGTATCTGAATGGATTTTTCCCATTGATTACAGGAAGCAAACCACTGTATTCTCTCTTTGGGGCTCTGGCATTCCCTGAGCTATGATTATTTTCTCTATGTTAGTTCACTCAGTAGAGTGATATTTTGGAAGGTGCCATGAAAAATAAATTACTAAGCATTTAGAAAGTGTAAATTATCTCAGAAATGCTCAAAAGCCTTTTGTATCTGCTGTTCAGAGATTTCACATGTCCAGTTTTACATTTACAAAGGAGATTATGTAAATAATTGCTCTGTGCATGGAGTTAGCAGAAATTCACCAAACTGCCTGCCAGATAAAATGTATCAAATACCTTCCATTGTATTTGTAAGTATGCTGGCTATACTCATTGCTCTTTGTCTTGCAGCAGAATCTTCCAGCATTTCCATGGAAATTTGATAAGAACTCAGTCTTCTTTTTCTAATTTCTGTTTCTGTAGTGGTGCCCTGTAAATGAAATACTGAAGAATTAAACCATCCTTTTCAACAGCCAATTAACAATTTTTACTGTAGAAGTGCTGTAGTGAGATTCAAAACCAGCTTTGTGCAGAATACTAGATTCTTCTTATGCACTGAAATTTTCTGTTCCTGTAGGAGTTTCTTTGTTCTTTATTGAGGAACTCAGTGAGAGTTTTGTACAGTGCTACAGCTAATCAGCTGAGGAACACAATACCAAGGCAATGTGAGACCAAAGGTGGGCCTCATTTAAATGACTGAGTGAACAAAATTTTTGCTAGGTATCTTTTTGTTAGTGATTATTATTATTCTTTCAAGAAAAAGTTATCAAAGTTGCAGCCTGTTGCCTTAATTCCCAGCAGCTATTTTTCTCATGAATGTGTTTTTCTCATGAAAGTTATGAGAAAAATTTCTTCAAGATAAATTCAGTCAGGGGTATTTCGATTAACTATCATGAGAAGAGTAACTGCATTCTGCTTAATTTTGTAGGTGTTTTCTGAAACATATTTCCAAGTTGTAGCCTTATTTATATTTCAAATGTCTACCTGTCTTGATGAGGTGAAACTATATATAGCTTGTCAAATTCAATTAATGTTTTTTTTTTCTTTCTGTATGCAGATCTCTTGCTGAAGAAAATGAGAATATAATACTATACTGAGACTCAAATAGAAGTTGAGGACTTTTTCCCCTTATATTCTGTTATTTAGAAACTATTGCAAGTTATTTCTCACAGCTCTACAAAATGGTAAGGCATGCAGAGGTGAGCAGTTTGAAAAAGTCCTGTGCCTGAACCAAACTGTAATAACTGTAATAATTACCTCTGGTATAAGTTGACCAGTAGGTGAAGTTAGATTTGAAGGTCCTCCCACCAAGGAAACTACTCCATTGCAATCCACAGTGCTGTGCATCTTCCCATTTACTGGAAGGGCTGGTACCATTCTAGATGACACACTCGCCTGACTAATGTTACTGTTGCGCCGTTCACCATGTCTACGAGGAACAAAGAGGGAATCTCTTCTGCTCTCATTGTCTTCAAGAGTGCTGTGCTCATCATCAGCAAAGTCATTTTCTGATCCCACGTCCTTTGCACGACCTCTGAAGCTGAAAATGCTTGTTCTGCTGTTGCGCCTTGGTGAGAACAGGGAACCACGAATGCTCAGCAAGGACTGTAAAAGATTTCAAATACATCAAAACAAAATAGCATTAGAACTGAAGTTCTAACTTCCTGGCTTTTCAAAGAATGGTTATTACAGTGCTAGAGGAAGGACAGTGACTTTTTTCTTCAATAGTATCAGTATGCTCATTAGGGGAACATGCTTATTAGGGAACCTAAAGTAGAGAGGAAAAAATCTTTTCAAGGTAGTGCAGCAGGACTGAGAAAAAGTTGTGCAGAAGACATAAGTAAGGTTGGACAGTTTTGAGCAAAGAAGACAGGTTGAATTGACATGGACCCATGACTGTGCTGGAGACAGTTCTAAACATCACTATCAAGAATTTTCAGTTATTTTATTCCTTCTTCTGTTAGAGGATAGAGCTAAAAATATTTTACTTTCTTCTCCTTCTTCATCACCTGGATTCCTCACAATAACAAGTGATAACGCTCACCAGTCATTGTTTTCTGTTCTATATGCTAGAGGCAGAAGTGTTCTCATGTTTGGTATTAAATTCAGTTTAAGTTGATGGAAAGAACTGTCTACCCTCTTCACAAAAGGCTTGAAAGTGTGGGAACAACTTATGCTGTACCCTAAAACTAGATCACAAAGGCAACAGCTTGGGGAAACTCTGGAGGTACAGTGTGAATATACAGTTCTCTGTGGACTAGTAGCACTTTTAGGCATACCATTCCAGGGCTGTAGTAGGCTGCACACCTACCAGGAGGCACTGCCTGACCATCAGGCAGCTCAAAGCAATCATTCACCAGGGACACAGTTATCTAAAGATATAATCTTACAAATAAGAAAAATAAGTCAGTGTTTGTTGGTAATTCATCTTTTAATTACAGTACAAGCTGGTTAATGGAATATTCTTCTCCTTTGGTACATATTTTATTAACAGCATTCATGAATTAATAAAATCAGTACTAATTGTGGAAAAAGAAACCTTGCATTAAGCTTTTTTCAACTCTGAATTTGTACAAATCTTCTCATCAAAAACCAGGTTTGAGACAATTCTCAATTTTTCACTAGTTTTGCAGGTGGAAAGTGCTCATATGTAACAGCAGTGGTTTTTATCCCAGGATAATTAAAGTGAAAGCGAACACTGCAGTAAATATATAAGGCTGTATTAATACTGTGAAAATCAAACACTGAATATATACATATATCAGTCTATATGTATCTCTGTATATGCATACTCACATTTATACATACCCACCTACAATGTGTGTGCTGAACTGGTAGCACTGCCTGTTGTAAAGGCTGGCAGGTGTTTACCATTATGAGATGTATTTTTTCTGCTCTTACAGCTATACAAAATTTTAATAATTTGGGCTGAAATTTTCTATGCTGGCTGACAGCCTCAGGCTGAGTTACTTGAACAGTGTCAACCAAATGGTTTTGCTAAGCCATTTATGTAAACTTGGCTGGAGAAAAAGTGCTGTTTTCCTTGTGCTGAAAGATAATTTTATCTAAAAAAACCCTCTCTAGCTGCTATAGAGCATGACACTGAATTCTGACAAAATAGTAAACTAATTACTGCAACCGTTGCACATTTCTTTGTAAATGTATTGGGTCAATCTGCAGTCCTTCAAAAAAATCCCACAATCAGTAGGTTTCATCTGATTTACCACTGCTACCATTTTTTTTTTTTAGAACATGCTTCCATAGCTGCTATGCTTTGTTTGTAGTCCAGTCTTTACAGTATGTGTTATTATGCTCTGAGCATAGCTAGATGGATCAGGCCCCTCAGGGATTTGGGAGGAGTAATGCCTGTTCTGTAAGCCCCTGATGTATTAAGACAAAAGATCTAAGCCAAAACGTCTACAGTTCTGTCACATGTAGAGGCAGAAATGTATGGGTCTACATGCTCCTGGATGTAAGGTCTGGAAGGAAAGCTTGGGTTTTCTTGCAGGCTGCATCACTTATTTACATAGGATACTGTGTTGAAAATCAAAACCTCTACAGGGGCCACTGGGCAGGTTATCTCCCGTTACCATTCTACCACATTGTTTCATGCTCTGCCACCCTGTTTCACCACAAAGCTGAAGGCATGGCTAACAAGACCAACCAGCTCTTCCTTTACCATTTCTATTGCCCACAATCCTTCCACACCTGCAGCAGCTCTTTGATTTCAGTTATATGCAGGCAACGTTTGCCCCAAAGCATTTTTACAACTGCATATAAAATTACCAGGATGGTCTTCAGTTAATAAATTATCATTGATATTTGCTTAATACAAATCTCTTTGCATAAATCTGTTTTAAAAAAATTATTTCAGATGGTCATATTTCCTTCTTGCTGGGTAATTAATGACATCTCAAGATGAGCTGTCTCCTGTCTGTTGCTCCATTTCCTTCTGTTCTTTCAAATTTAAGACATATACAATATTTGTTTTCATTTGATTTTAATGAATTTTATTTACTCTGCAACATGAATTCGCATTTAATTTTAATGTTATCAAAAGCAGTTTGAAACGGCTTTCTTTTCTAACCTTCTTATGTTTCTGTGGAAGTTTCACAGTTCTTCATGACAACTGATGGTGAAATACTTCTGAGAGTTTCCAGAGTATGAACAAATACATGCAACAATGTTTTGATGTGTGTTACTAAAGCTACAGAAAAGTTTATTATCTATGGAATCTCTTTGTCTCAGATTCCCTTCCCCTAAGTATATGTGCTTCTGCATTTTTTCTGTGCACCAAAAAATATATTTAATATAAATCTAATATATTCTTTCATCGTTCTCTTCACCAGCTGTGTATTAAAGATTATCAGGGCATTTAGTCTAGACAACAGAGGGCCCTATTATCAAGTAGTTAAAGCACAGGAATAGATGTCAGAAATTCTCTTCTGCTCAGAGTTTGTCAGTGACTCTTCTTTAGTGTGGTCAAGTCACTCATCATCCTCTCCTATGAGGTCCGAGCACTTACATAGGTATTTATATAAAAGTGAGGCAGGAACATACAGTCCAAAATGAAATATTTGATAGCAGCTCCTCTATATCAGTCTCACTCAAAGCCCATTCCAATTAATGAAAGATTTTTTGGAGCACCTTTGGCCCAAAAGTAATAGTACATTTTATTAGATTGGAAATAAACTTTTACAAAATTACTCAAAGGAGTTGAGATAGGTATAATTTTAGTTTTTTTCTTACCCTTTATTTATTTCTTACCCAGACAGCAACCTGGTAATTCTTCTTAATAAACATTACTTCACTTCCTTAGAAATACAAATGTGTCTTTTTTCATATCAGGCATCATTCTTTATACTTGACTAATCACTGAGGTTTGGTCTCAAATTAAGCTTTCCTCCCCTCAGTCCATATATTTCAGTGTGAAGTATTTCTGGCGGTCAATCTCGTATTTTTTATGTCTGTAAACTAACACCCTTGATATGAATATGAAATAGGATAAACCCTGATAGTTAAACATGGGTATTATTGGTATCTAAATGGCACGTATTGGTTGAGACTAGACACAATCCTTTTGAAGAAATGCATTTTGAGTGATTTTTCTACAAATAATTGTGTGTAGAATTGAAATAAGAAAAATTATCCTTAAGCCGCGGAAGAGATCTTTTGACTTAAGGGAGTAAAGCTTTGAAATTTGGACTACATGATTTCCAGAGATCATTCCTTGAAATAATTTTTTTCTATGATTGCAATGGTTCTCAATCTTGTATAATAAATTTCTAATGAAAAAGAACAGTATGACTAAATACTTAAAAGCCCAAACAATCCCTATATAGCTTGGCTTTATTGTGGAGTGCTACAGCTACTTTTCTCATTATCTACCATTTAAAGAAGATAATTAAAACAATAGAAACTAATGGTAGTGTGAAATTCCTATGCAGGGTATTTTGATGATGTGGTCTACTAAAACCCCATATATCTGTGTAGTTTTGAAATGGATGCAGAACAGAGAACCTACAGTTGATTAATGCAAGTATATAAGTACTAATCAAAGAGTCTTTGATTCTTTTTTCAATCTACCGGACATATTTTCAGAAAGACATTTTCAAAAACGATTAATTAAGTTTACAATTATTCTTGGTATGTTCTTTTTATCCCTTTGCCAACAGACTGTGTCAAACCCTATCAGACTGTAACACTATTAATGGTATTACCATTTATTTTTCTTCACTCACCTTTTATATAACTTACAATATGTAAAGCTGCTGTAATGTCAGTCAAAAACAAATTAGAGTAGACATATATTTTAACAAAAAGAGTGCTGTACCTGGTGAGGAGATGTGAACCTTTTTTCACGTGTCAGCTGGCTTCCTTCTGTGGAGAAGTGGAAACTTTTCCTTCTGATACTGTCTTCTGACTCGGACTTGGGGAACTTATCAATGTCTCCTTTATCCTCTGCTTCAGACATTTCTTTCTGTCTTCTTTTCTTCCTTCTGTTTCTTCTTTCTTTAGCACTCTTTGAGCTCAACTTTGATGCTTCTGAAGAACTTTCCAAGAGTTCTCCTAATCCCCCTATACCACTGAAATCTCTTGATGCAACTGATGCTGCTGCTACTGCTGCTGTTGCCTGTAAGGTTACAAAACAAGGTATTCTTATTAAGTCAAAAATAACAATTATATAGGCTTTTATCAATCGTTTTTATCATCACTGTGGTAATACTGCTGGTTGTACACCCTTGAGTATGCAAATATACAGAGACAAAATTGAACTGAAGATAAACTACGGAGTTGTATAGCTCCTCATAGCATGAGTTTCTTGAAGCATCAACTTCAGCAGAACAATATACTGCATCACTATTCCTTAAAGACTTGCTGCATAAGACACTGGTCTACAAATAAGGTAGTCAGAAAAGTGCAAACATGGTGCTTTTTAATGTATTTCAGGCCCGCTCCCACATTTTCTTTTGACAAAAGCCCCACACCATGCTCTAACTCAGCTTACCCCTTCTGAGTCCTTACAGAGAAAACGAATCCCTAAAATCCACCATACGAGTTAATGTATCATAATCCAACTAGCAATCTGCAAGTAGCTGATTCCAGCCTGTCTTTACTGTCTTCACAGCAAGTACACTCCCCTCACATTCCTTCTACCTTCACTGTCAACAGGCATACACTCTGGACATATCTTCAAGCCCTACCTCCTTCATGTTTCCCATCCTACACTTCCTACTGTAACAGCACTCTAGGTCTTTGTTACAGATACACAAAGGTACATTTATTGCCTGTTGCTGCTGTGGCCAGAGAGAGAAGAAAAAGTTTAGGTTTCTTCTCTGATGGAAAAGGATGAGATGACTTATGGAGTAAAGAGCCATCCCAAAACTCAGGACCAATATCTTCAATTACAGTGGTCAGCCTACCTGATTGGGTTAATTAGGGAAACTGATTCATTTAGTCATCAAATAAAGGAAGAATTGAGAGTGTGCCCACTACTCTTCCTAGAAAGAGCTGTCAGGGAGATTGCTATGAAATTCTGCAGGGGAAAATATGTTTGGGAAGATGATAGGCTGCTGTGAGCTTACAAAAAAGGGTGGTGTGATAAATGTCAAGACACTAGGGTTATACAAGAATTAACTAGTAATTATCCAGAAAAAAACACCCGTTATATTCAATGCCAAGTATTTCAGGAACAATGAGGTATCTCCCTACAGCAGGAAAGGATAATTTGGAGGCTCATAGTATGAATTAATGGTTTTCTGTGCCACAGTCCATGTTATACAAGTTGACTTGATATAGACTTTTTCTGCTAAATGCAGTAAGGATTTGAAATGTTTATCAACTTAAGAAAAAGTGATACTCAGAATTTTGTCATACTTTTTTCAGAATATCACCCTTCAAATGTTCTAACATAAAAAAATCAGCAGAGTTATCACCCATCTACTTCCTCATGCTAACACCACAGGTTAAACTAGTGGAACAACCCAAAGACCACTCTAATAGCTTAGGCCTGTGGATGAAGAAGTTCTGTGTCAAAGTTGTGAGGAGATGGGTCCCACACTCATTTCTGTCTCAGCAACCAATTCAGCAGCTCAATAAATCACCTTGTAATGAATACTTTCTCTGACTATTTTCACATACAAAAGGGATCTTGACTGTAATACTGCTTTTCTTACAATGAATTGAGTGGTCATTCGTTTTAAAAAGTAACAACTTCCCAGGGCCTTTATCTAGCCTTCCTTGTAATCTCTGTTTTGTATGGTTCTGTTCTTCCTTCTCAGCATTTCTGTCCTGACTCTCAACACTCAAACGTCTAGATAAGACTCCTGATATCTTTTGATATAACGTTTTAGTGCTTTTTATGGATGAAAACATCAGATTTGTTGTATTGTTGGGTTTTTTTTAAGTACTCTTTGCTGATATTTAACTTTTTACTTTGAATTTGCAGGAGTCTGTTTCCTTTAGTGATTTGGAAGTGACTAAACTAGAAGTATACTAATTAGATTTCACAGGTCATGCATAAAGCTTTCTTTATAAGAAAAAGATGGAGAGTTTAATTTTCTACTAGCACTTTATAACATCATTCTAATTTAGTAAAGTAGCTGTAAAATACTACTAAAATGATAATTTCATATAATATTCTAATTTGATAGCATTTCATAAACTTGTGTTTATTGAAAATAACAGTATGCCAGATGAAAAACAATGAAAAATCAGTCCAGAAATTAGACATATGTGTGACTCACGGAGATGAATTCTTGAATGTACTTTACTTTCAGATAAGAAAAGCTCATGCAAAACTATTAAGGTGGCTTTTTCTCATAAAACTTGAAATATTTATCTTCTCTTTTCAAAGAAAACAAAGATTACTTTAAAAGAATTCTGAAGTAATACCTGTGTCATAAATATTGCTAGTCTGTTCTAAGGATATGTAAACTTCTAATTGATTTCAGTGAGCATGGATTAGAGATATGCTTAAATACTTTGCTGGATAGAAACATAGAAAAACAGTGATTACAGTTGTCTCTGTTTTCTGAATATTGTGAAAGGACTAAATATTAAGTACATCAAGCCTCACAATTCTCACTCAGACCATAAACCAGAAGTAATGTCACTAGACTTTTTGCATGCTGTTCATAAGATCTGTAATATAAAAGCATCGTGAATTATGACTACTTAAAGTCAGTTTTTATATTGCTTTTTTTTATGTACCATTCCCTTCTTTTTTGCTATTTGGTTAGTTCCTGATTTTCGTTGGCTATTTCCACTTTCATAATTCGCATGGTAAACAAGACTTTTTTCTTTCTGTAATTCATCGCACAAAATATATGTGTTCTGATTCATATAAGATTATTACCCTTGCCTTAAGAATAAGGCTGTTCAGAAAGTACAATTTCCATCATTACCTGAGCTTCTTCTTGTTGTTTCTTCAGTTGTTCCAGCATCTGTTGAAATTCCGCCTCTTTCTGCTCTGCTTCTTCCATGGTTGCTTGATTCTGTTCTTCGTAGGCCATGGCAACCACAGCCAGGATCAAGTTGATCAGGTAGAAAGAGCCCAGGAAAATCACCAGAACAAAAAATATCATGTATGTCTTCCCAGCAGCACGTAGTGTCTAGGAAGTATAAAACATATTTATATATTATTCCATCACTTGAATTAGTTACTGCAACAGCATTATGCTTTCAGCTTATGTACAAATAAACCTGTTTATATTATTTTGCATGTCACCTACAGTTTGCTTTTTATGTCTCAAAAATTTCTTACCAGCTGATATAGGTTTTCCCAGAAGTCCTGAGTCATTAGCCGAAAAAGTGACAAAAAAGCCCAGCTGAAGGTATCAAAACTTGTGTAACCATAGTTGGGATTTCTACCAGCTTTCACACATATATATCCCTCTGGACACTGCCTATGTGAAAGTCAAACAGGAGCTACTTAGTGATAACTTTTACTTCGTTCTAGAACATATTCATTATTTTTTAGAACAATATGCCTTATTTTTTCCACAGAAAATCCATGAATTATGATTAAATCCATTCAGGAAAAAAAAAAAGTCCTAAGAAACAAACTAATAAGAGAGTAAATGAAAGATACCCTTTTCATCTGTTTACTGGCTGAAGTGATCAGTTTAAATTCTCCTCAGTCACATGTTGAAAATAAAATCTTTATTCCAAATGAATAATTTCCTGGCAGAAATAATTGCTAAAATGTCGTTAAGGTTACAGACAGATTAAACAATATTATTAGCCAAATCTAATTGTACTATTAGGGATTTCCCACATAATGCTGAGGTTGGTTTTGTTTTAGTAGGTTTCTTCTCTGTTGCCAGTCAGGTTTTCTGAGTTCAGCTAACAGTTCTAGGCTCATAATGAGGCATATGTGTATAGCAGAATTTGCCAGTAATGAAATAAAGTTAGGCTTGAAAAAAAAAAAAAAGATTCAGTCTTGAACTATGAAGCCATTACTGTACTTTCTTAATATTTGACTTTTTTTTTTTCAGTTCTAACCTTTACTTTCATCCTACTTTCTTCAATCAGTACATCTCCAAAACAGACTTTACAAGAGTTCAGATTCTATCATTAACAACAACATCATTTTCCAGTCAATCAGCGAGAAAGGCACTTAAGGAAAATTTTGCTTAGTCAGCCTAAAATATGTTGGCTAAAGTAAGAAATCACTGTTTAGCAGTAAAACACTCTAAGTTCTGTAACTGCTAGATATAGCGATGCAAATGCTACAGATAGGCTTCTTATAACTTCTTTTTCTACAGAACATGGCAGAGGAGTTTTGTAAAGGGTCTTACCCTGCATCAGAACTATTACCACAAAGTAGGGCATCTCTTTGTCCTTCCAAAATGTAAAAATGAGCTGTGTAGAAAGCATTAGAAATATATGTGAATAAATCAAATGAACCTAGAAGTACTACAGAGTAAAATAAAAATAAATTTTAATAAAGTCCAAGTGGTAGTTGCTGATCACTTTGTTATTTGTATAGGAACCCTTCTGGTTATTGTACTTGTTTATTGTATGTCTTTGATCTCTGTCAGTCAGTGACAGAATGCAGTTCAACATAACGCAAAAATATAAACCATTCAATATTCTTTGCTTGATCACAGTTACATACTATAGCCACAATTATATTAAAAATAGTTATATCAGATATTCTTACTTTCATCCTCAACGTAATCCTTCCAGTTAAATGTGCTTACTGTCATATTAACAAATGTACCATTTTCATCCATTGTGCTGTTAAAGTAGGAAATAATGTTTATTTCAAAAGTAGAATTGTCTGGAGGCCACTGCAGGCATTTATTCCTCAAGTTGCCCATGAACAGCTGCAGCCCTATTAGTGCAAATACACTCAGACAAAACACAGTCAGGATCATTACGTCCGAGAGCTTCTTCACAGACTGAATTAGGGCTCCTACAATAGTCTTTAGGCCTGCAAAGAGAAAAGATCCATACATTTATCAGAGTATTATTGCCCTTCCCATATAATTAAGATGTCATGCAGACACTTAAAAATAATTTTTTATTTTTCAAAAAGTAAAGCTTCATGAGCAGCCTCAGAGCTTGTGAAGATGGATGCAAAGGATTTTTTTATGACTGTACAATGTACATGTATTCCAATAAATTGAATACATAATGTCATTCTCAAGCAGGAAATTTTATCAATCATGACTACCCGTTATAGATTTGATTTAATTTCTTAATTTTTCTCTGCATTTAATATTCAGCCAAGTATTAATTTTCCAGTTAAATATGATTTCACAACAGTATGAAGATAGAATGAGATAGAATGGCAAGTAATTTTGTAGAAAAAAAAGCATTATTATTTGATAAATTTTCCTGTGCATTATTTATCTCCTTTTTGGTAGTTTTTTTTTTTTTTTTTTTAATTGTTACTTGGTCGTCTTTAAGACTAATGTCAATTTTACATGGCAAAATAAATGAAAAAATTCAAAATCAGGAAAGCCATAGTGCTAAAGCTTTTTTAATGTAAAAGAGACAACTTGTAATAAAATGCAGAAAACAAAGCAAAATAACCCATAGGCCTCATATTTTATGTCTCATGCAAGAATCTGTTAAACTCAAAGGCTGATTTTGCAAAGTAAAAGAAGCTAATGCTGAAAAGGCAAAGAATCATAATCCAGGCTTATGATACGTGCCTTTTTTTTTTTTTTTTTTTTTTTTTTTTGGCAACATGAGCAGCAAACAGCAAAGCTTATGTTCAAAAGACTTCAGCAAAAGTCAGCCTCAGTGTTTAACCTAGCTCTCACCTGGAATGACTGATATTGTTTTCAAAGCTCGGAGAACTCTGAATGTTCTCAACGCTGAGACATTGCCCAGGTCCACAAACTCTGTCACATATCTGTAATAGGGGAGTTCACACACAAACACAATGACAGCACACAAATAACAGTTGGAGATACGAGGGGCCTAACACCTTACACCAACTACTTCTTACCTGGGATTACAGAAATAGTTTTCAAAGCTCTCAATACTCTGAAAGTTCGAAGAGCTGAAACATTGCCTAGGTTTACAAATTCTGTTACATACCTGTAGGATTAAATCACAGTTATTCAGAATTGAGGCAGAGCTTATATTATGTGGATCTTCAAAACCTCTGTGGCAATATTAGCAATCATACTTCAAAATTTACCTGTCTCTTCCGCACATCTCTCTTTTGTAATTACTTATTTTCATCAATTTTGCTTAAATCTCATTGGAATGAAACTCACGGATTTGTATTTGAACAGCTAATTAAGCTAATTATCTTATAATAGGACGGTGACATGAAATTAAAGGGATGGCTTCTATTCTGGTGATCAGAAAAATGTAGGACATGAAATTAGTGTCCTTCAGCATTAATTACACTAGCAGCTGACACTCCAATGCTGGCTTCTGCCACATTTTACTTCGATTTATGAGTACTAAAATGTGTGATACAGTATCTAAACTTCACAGGTTGCGGAAATTAAATACTTTAAATTAGATATATTTATTATAATAATATTTGCCACTAATTTCATGCCCTAAAAGCTTAAAAAGTTCTTGAACCACTTACGCCATTAAAATGACACTGAAGTCAAGCCAGTTCCATGGGTCTCGCAGAAAAGTGAAACCTTCTAAGCAGAAGCCCCTTGCAAGAATTTTGATAAGTGATTCAAAGGTATAAATTCCAGTGAAAGTGTACCTGAAAGGCATCAGAGTAGAAAGAATGGATTTTTGCATACTTATGTTTATGGATGGTGCCATTCTTTGTCACAGATGACTTGCAAGAAAAGAAAAAAAAAGATATTTAGAAATGAAAGGAGGAAATCATTAACTTGCTCTAAACACTTAAGAATGTAATCATTGTTCAGTAGATGAAATTTGAACCTTACATATTTATACTATTAATTTTCTAAAAGGTTGATTTAATCTCTGTTTTTGAGCTTGTAAATAATTTCAGACTCAATACATGATTTTGATATTTATATATACATTCTCTGGCACTCACTGGGTTGCCTCTTTGCTTGCATTCACAAATCAGGTAGATGTCAAAGTATTACAAAAAAATTTTTTTTTTCATGTCAAAATCAGAGAGATTTTTGAAAATAAGTTCTGGACAATAACTATACCCATGCCTATGACACAGGTTTATTTCATTAATAATATTTTAATATAAGAAAACACGCCCAGACTTATTCTTGAAGATGTGGAACATGATTAGCAATTTACCACATGTGGGAACAACCATTCATTAAAAAATATAGAATAGTCAGCAATAAGCCTTGTAGTGCAGGGACTTTCTGAGACCCACGTAGGTCTGTACGGACCTCCAGAATAGAAGACATCTGCCTACAGAACCTACTACTCTCCTTTCAGACTCTCAGCAACACTAACAAGCCATAGCCTCTGTTGAGCATACTGGGAAGGGGTGAACACTAGTGCAGTTTCTAAATGCAGCGTTCAAATTAAGATTCTTTACCACAGTGAAATAAATAAATAGAAATCAATAATAGCTATTGGAGAATGGCAGGGAATGAAAGAAACCACAAGGTATTACAACTAGCTTTTTTATGAGGAGCATTATTTCAAAGAAAAACAAAATATTTCAAAGGAAAAAGTCTCTAGTTTGTTAGAGAGCAAACATACACGTATAACCGTGAACAAGAAAGAGAAACAGAGATACTTTGTGGTTTCCTTACTTCTGTCAGCTCTTTGTTACTCCTTCATAGGTAAGGCCCTTTCTACAGACGTTTGAATTTCTTGTGGCTGGGTGTTGTTTGTGCTTGCCATGACTGGCACTTGTGAGTTCACAACAGTGAGCCAGATGAACGCCCCACTGTGCTAAGGTCATAGATACTCAAGCAACATATGGCTGGCCTCACCAATGACATGCAACAATTTTACAAGCACATTTGAAGTTTGTGAGCTCCTTTTCCAACTTACATCTGAGAGCAGCCAACGACAAGAACTCATGTTTGTAATTCACAGTAAAAGTTCAGATATGCCTCAGGCATAATTTTAAAGAACAAGGCACTATTCTTAAACCATTTAAATTATTCAAGAGGAAACCGGAAAGACACTGATGATCTCATGGAATCTGATTCTTCATTACCCTGCAAAAGCCCATTCTGGCATGCAGCTTTGTGTAAATGATTCTTGGATTCACACAGAAACAAATACGTAAATATTAAGACGTAAAAATGTTTCACTTACTCTACATTCTTTGTCCAGTCTGGAGGGTTACTCATGGTCATAAACACACAATTGGTCAAAATAGTGCACATGATAAGCATGCTGAATAATGTAGATTATAGTCAAGGCATGTAAGTCAAAAAAGTATGACAGTTTTATAACACAAATAATTAAAAATATTAAGTGCATAAAACTAGGTACAAATAACGTGACACTGTAAATAAAACCTGAAAATAAAGCTTTGCATATAATTTTAGCTATTTGAAATGGTATGCCATCTGGCAAACAATGCATTACTTTTATAATTATCGCAGACTGATGATTTAAATGAAACTTAAACACATCCTTAAGTCTGTAAAAATATGAAATGAGTACCCAAACATAATTACCCACTGAAGCCAGAGGGGTCATTCTTAAAAGATCTTTAGGCAGAGGTTGGTTATTTATGCCCAAGTTGTTCTGTGGACATGATTGAAATGTATTTGAAAATATTCTCCTTTATTCTGACCTGGATCTTTTATAGGACACCTACTCCCATGCTGAAAACACAATGCTGAAAAAGTGAGCCTGAAAAAGCAGCTCTTTACTCATGCCCTCTTGTTCTTGTTAAGTGAGTCTAGTCCATGAATAGTGCTACCGGTCTTGGTAAAAGTGTGACCTTAGATATGTTCAAATGCAATGGTTTGTTACTAATTTGGTCTTAGCTGCAGGGCTCAGTATGGGATCAGGTCTCCTTTTGTATATGAAGCCTGATATTTAAACTCTGACAGCTTTAGGTGGTTCAAGGTATGAATAAAGATCATACTGCAATTCACATGTGCTATAGCCGCTTTTCAAGTAGGATCAGCATATGTTTAGTGAGCACAGTACTCCCACATGGACATCATTTGTATATCCATATGAAAAGTATTATTTCAGTGATTAAATAGTTTTAAATGGCAATCCTTAAGTCAATGTTAAGAAAAAAGGATATGAATGTACCAAAATCTTGATAGCAATTTTTCTGATGGGATTAAAAGGAGTTAAAATGTACAAGGCAGATGTGGCACTGAATCGGAAAATTGCCTTCCCCTTATTCAATACTATGAAAGTCTGCAAGAAAGAAATACAGAATTGAAAATACAGTATTGACTACATAAATGACCTTACCTTCTTCTAAAGGATTCCATTCACCACCTGGGAAGCTGAAGTTCCATTCTACCTGTGGCAGGAAAATAACTGATTTCTATGAATACAGTGGTTTAAGCCTTCCACAGGCCATTCTCCAATTTGCTAAATTTCCCAGGATGTAGACTGAATTCTGATGTTACTGAAACTGGTGGGAATTATCAGCACCAATGTCAGTTTATCAATCAAAGCAAAATGTTGCATTTCATCACTAAAATATTTTCAATTTTATTTCTAATGAAGTCTTTGATTAAAGTCAGAATTTCAAACTCACCAAATACATTCGGCCTTGTAAGAAAACACAAACAAAAGCATAACAGCAATTCTAAAAAGGGCATTTCTAAACCCCAGTTTGTATTTGGAACAAATACTTGACAGAATTGTATACACATACATATGGTGACAAGGACAAAAAACTGTCACTGAACAATTAACTATAATTTTTAAATAATTTTGCTTTCATTTTAGATTTTTATATGCTATCAGTTATACACATCATCTAAAAATGTATCTGTCAAAAAATAAAAGTGATTAATGAATTTCCATCTGACACAATTCTGAGCAGTCTGAGACAAATGTAAGCCATAATTTTGCATCCTATTACAACAAATCTTTTCTTAAAAAAAAATGTTTTAATTTTTAACAATATGCTCTTATCTTTCCTGTATGTGAGCAACAAATTTATTTATTTACCATCTTTTCAAATTTGACCTGATAAGCCTACATTTTGTGTTCATTTCATTCTGTTCCTATTGGCATTCATCGCCTAAGTGTTTTCATTTTTATTCCAGGTATATTTTTGTGAAAGATTTACTTGCATCTTTGGTGCTGTTTGAAATTTCTTCAGGACATGACTATTCTTCATTTCTTTTACTCTTTGTCAATGGTAATGGCTCTGCTTTGTGCTACCATAATAGAGTCTTTGTTATGCTCTCAGCAGAACTATATAGTATCACTATTCTCCATGTTGGTTTCCATTCTCTATAAAAACTTGGCTGTGACCAGAAAAATGCTGACCTCTCTGTGGCCTTTACTGCCTATCTGGCCTATGAGCTGTGGGAGAGAAAGCAAACTTCTTTACAGTATAAAAGAAAACAGGCAAAGCAGCATTCCTGGTGCCTGTTCACAGAATAGCATCAAGCGTAGCATTGAGGATGACAGAGAATGGACTCAGACTCACTGGCATTTCTCTCTGCCCTACAGTCCTTCACCTAGCTAGAAATGTTAGAAAGATGTTGCCTCTCCCAAGGTCACTACTACAGCAGAGCCTGAAGGCAGATTACAATTCACATATGATTTTCTCTGCGTTGACAAGTTTATAATTAAGAGTAGATTCTGCTATAAACTGGAGGAGAGGTTGCTGATTCAAGTTCATCATTTAAGATGTCCATTTGGTTTTTGTTGAGCTCATTAGGCTGATACCTAACATAAATATAGATGTCACCTATGGTAACAGATTCTGTCAGTTACTAGCTACTCTCATAGATGAACAAGTCCATCAGTAGTCTGATTTTTTACACTTTTGTTCCAAAAAATCCGACTACTCTTTTGATCATTGGAGGTTACAAGGTATCCTTTGGTACTTATCAGGTTTTCTGATTCTTCATTTGTAGAAGACTTGTTTGGAAAACTTTATATCTAAACCTTATTCATCTAACTTTATTCCTGACAATTTTTGCAGCTGGTCAAGAAAAGGGCTTAGTGCACAAAATTATATTGTAAGAATGTGCATGGAACTGTTGATATAACCAAAAACTTATAAATTAAAATAACTTCTGGCAACACTCCTTCTCTGATCTTTCATTTTTAAAAATTTCCTTAATAATGTTAATATTTGTATTATCTACAACACTTTTTATTTAACTTTGGTACCTGTAAAGTCATGCAATTATGTATGGATTCTGCTTTGGTTTTTATGCCTATTACTGATGCCATAATCTTAAAACCAGCTTTGTGACCCAAAGGCAACCAGAAATGTAGCCACGAAACTGAGCACACTATTATCATTATTTTTTCCTAACAAAGCAAGTTTCTTTACAGTTTAAAAATACCGTCATTTTTTTATAGTTGCTTAACATAAAACTTCTTCAATGGCCCTCCAGAATGCTTTGAGCACTTATCAGAACAACTGTGTCCACTTCCTTCTCTGTTTCAGAGAGATGGGAAAAGATAATCCTAAGTACTTGTCCATAATACACCTTCTGTATTTTTAAATTTAGGGTTATTATCCACAGCTTCCTTTTCCTTCACTTTCCTTACCTACAGCAGGTCTATCTGGAACTGAGAGAACATCTTGATGCTGCTAAAGGAGCATACAGAAATAAGCAGATACAAAGTACAGAGGAGAACCTGCTCTTCCTGTCAGCTGTACTTTTTTTTTTCTATCTATGCAGGACATAAGGTATTTTTAACTCTTACCAGGCTGGACTATTTCACATCTTGGAGGAGCCTACAACTGATCCCAGCTACGGAGATATACTTGTTTGTTCCTTGTCTTTCTTTTAAATCATATAATGGTACTCTGTTTCCAGATTGTACACATCGTTGTTACAAGACCAAAACCTGAATATTGTACTGCAGACCCTTGACTTCTAAAGAGGTCAAGAGACAGGCTTTTTACTTGAATGGATCTGTTTGAACTAGCCTTTCTATCTCCAAGTCCCTGACTTGTGAATCATGTGAAAATGAGCACTTTGTATAACTGTGCGAATCAGAAGGGGAAATACACATCTAGGAGTTTGCATTCTTCATGGAGTACAACTATGTTATCAGTGGTCCAGTTGTTACAGCATCACAGGTGTAACTCAGGCACGTTACTTTTCTCTCACAACGCAGAGCTCTTTCTGTAGAAAAACTCTCCATTAATCTTCAGAACAAAACTGTCTTTTTTCTATTCCTTCCTCACAAACTGGCTTTTCTGTGATATCTGCCACAGGCTTTTAATTGACAACTGTGCAGCAGAGATCTATCATAACAATCCCAAGCACCTCAAGCAACAGGTTTCATTGTGGTAGTTTTATATGACCCAAGATTTACACAGTTTTTATATGTTACATATAGAGAAATATATATAATTTATACACACATATATAGATATAGCTGTATGACATACGTAGACATAACAGAAACAAAGAATATGGTTACAGGTCTTTATTTCACTAACTTGGATGGATGCTACCTGGTTTTCTACAACCACCTCCAATGCAAAACCGTGCTTGGAACAGCTTGTTTGTCATAGCCAGTCATACTGCTACATTGAAATTAGGAAAATGCAGTCATGTTCTCAAGTTCAGGCAAGCTCAAGGCAGTCATATCTTCCTTACAATGAAGTAAATAATGAGTAACTGCTATTTACAAGTTGAAGGAGTCACAATATAGAAGAGGTAAATCATTTCTGTTAAATGCGAGGACGTTTCTGTATATTTAATGGTTGATGGCTCTAACCATCATATTTTGTGATTAAACTTTTCCAGTAAGAAAATCACATGCTATTTTGTGCAAAAGATTCTTCACTCACTTTTTTATTGATATAATATGGGTCCAGGTCTTCCAAAGGTTCAGATACCATTCCTGGAGGTATGTCACCATAAATAAACGGCAGTGTCTTTCCTGCCTCCAAGTCACTGTTTGGTTTTGGACCATTTTCATCATCATCATCTGTGTGCTCTTGCTTGGGCTTTTTAGCTTTTTCTTCTGCAGAACGCTTTTCAATAGCTGTGAGAGAATCTCTAGTAAAATAGCGGAAGCTTTCAGGTCCTGGTGGTACCAGCAATGCTTGTGCCATGTTTTCATCCTGCAAATTTAATTACTTTTAGCCTCTTGCATAAGAATGACCTATAAAAGAAAATTAGACAGTTTAGGAAAACTAGACTTGTACTAACAGAAAAAAAAACAAAACAAAACAAAAACAAACCAACATTTGCTCAGAAACTGTTTTCAGGCCTGAAATAGAAGCAGCATACTTCAAGGCTGAATGAAAATTAAAAGCAACTGCTAAGAATTTATTTAGATATTTTATAAATTATTTTTCAGCATCTTCCTTCTAGTCTAAAATAAAAAAAGACACTGCTTCTGCCTATAAACACTGCTTTGCTTATGTCCTAAGACTCAAGTGTTTTAACAGTATATCTTCTTTTTTTCAGCAAGTATAAGTGTATATTCTATGAAGTCCTCTTGCAAATTGTAAACTTATATTTTACTAATGAATACATTTTATATTCCTGTATTTTTTCAAGTATCAGTAATCCAACTCTATGAACATAAAAACTTTCATTAAATTAAAAAATTAAAGTTTTGTACAATTAATGCTGTTTAAATGACAGCAACTGAATTATGGGAAGAACAAGCATAATTCTTGCTTACTGACAATTTACTGTGCTGACGGTTAATATTAGGTACCAAAGCATATTAGGTTGCACTTATTGACTGTGAGCTGTGAATCAAAACCACATGCTTTTTAAGTAAAAGGAAACAGGATGTACAATCAAGATTATGTGGGAAAATAATGCTGCTCCTGTTTTCTTGCAAGGCAAGTGTCACAATACTATTCCAAACTAAAACTATTTTGAAACCTAAGACTCTGGTTCTCTATGAATGCCTTTGGTGTCAGTGCTGGATGATATAGTCCCTGCTACTTTTCCCTGCTTTCTGCACTGAGGTCTCCACTGTACAACAGGTCTCTTTATGCAGCCCTGCAGTGCACTAGCTGAATGTAGTGTTCTTTTCTCTCTTCCAAGTCCTTCTGCAGCAGTACCACTTGCTTAAATTGAGGCACTGTACAATACACTGGAGAGGTCTGAATGGCTGGAGGGAAGGAATGGCAGAAAGGAAGGCCGATCTGGTTAAGGAATACTGTCACCAAGTAAAAAATGATAGCCTTATTAGTTGTCTACTTTGCAAAAGTTTGTGGTGTAGCGTAGTAATGGTTTTAATTATGAAAAACTGTTTTTAAGAGTGAGTTTCAGTGCCTGAAATGACTTCTAATTGTGTTTTCTGTACCTCAAGCCATGTACCCTTCCCTGTGTTACCTGATGAATGGTCCATAACTGTATTCTGGAGTTGCCACATTTTTTGATTTGAGACATAATATTGTATTTATTTGCATTCATTTAGTAGCCTTTCTCCTAAAGCTTCTTGCCTGTCTAGAGCAGTTGGTAGATCTCTCTCACACACCCACGGACACACATAATTGCTACAGTAATGATTTTTTGAAATAATGGATTCATTTTCAAATGACCCCCTGTATGAACGTAGAAATGGAGGGACATGTTAAAAAGTGCTTCAAGAATTTACAATATAAACCCAGAGGAAAGAAATGAAACTGCATATTCCTAAATCTGAATTACTAGTCCCATGTGTGGGTAAACCTGCTCCTGTGTCACCTCAAGTCTTTCTCTGTGCAGTGGGTTCACAGCACAGCATAGGTGTGTACAATCAGCACTGAGACCACTGAAATAATTTAGTCAGTAGATGATATCACCAAGCATCTAAGTAACACAAAGCCAGAACCATGGTACCTGACCATAAATTCATAAATAAAATATACTGTAATGCAGACATGGAGAAAGTTTTCCTCAAGGAAGAGCCTAGAGAACTATGAGTTACTGTAATGTGTAGAACCACAGAGATTCTGGAGGGACTGGCGGTACTGAAGCAGTATAAACTGAAAAATTAATTGTTAAATTAATTTTTCTCTAGCCAGAGACAGCAGCAGGTAATCTTACCACGTGTTGCTGTACTGAAACCTCTGCTGCTTATTTTTAGTCTGTACAAAATGGAAGCCTTCACTGATATGTGTTTTTTATTAATGTAACTCCCAACTAAAAGGATCCTAAACTCAAAATTGTCCTTTATTTGACGATTAAAAGCACATGCATTCTCTGGATTCAGTTCACACTCATTTGATTATTGCTTTTGTCCTTCCAGGATTAATAAACTAAGATGTCTGAGGTTTACCTTTAGCCTTTCTGAATAATTGATTATTTTATTCCACATTTTACAGGTCTGTGATTCAAATATCTGACCTATGTGCCTTCTCTGTGAAACTAGAAACTAGTCTTAAAAGGTGCACCCTTCTAGAGACATCAGTGGGTCTGTCTCATCACTATGGTTCGGTGCATTTGGTTAGACTGCATTTCATCCATTAACAGTTACAGCTATGAATGCTATAACAAAATACATTGTCCTTACTAGAAACCTATGTATTTCTATTGCTAGAAGTCCACAAAAGGGTCAATGAATGTCTAGGAAAAGTAATAGTAACAGAGTTGGGGTTTCACTGTATTTCTCAGTCACAAAACACTTTAAGAGTTTTCCTTGACAAGTTGGAAATGTTACTTGAAGTAGTATTTCCACTACTGTCTAGTGCAGGTATCTAATTCCTGGCAGCTGCTATTGCACAAGAAGGGTTTTCCCTATACTAAATATGCCACAAATGTTTCAATTCAGATTACAGAGCTTAAAAGAACAACACACAAATAGGTATTTCTACTATACTATTTCTGCTATGCATGCAGTACTTTAATAGAACAATGAAACAAAGGTAATTCTGCCCCCTGCACTGAGCCCCAAACAAGCTCTTAGAAAGCCCTGAACTATGAACTGCTCATTTGTTAGTGAAATTAAGGGCAAGACAGGGGAGGG